AATAAGATAGGAAGCGACTATATATTCTACTCCTTCTTTCTACGGTCTTTAGCTACTTCCATAATAGATCCTAAACCTTATCCCCCGGATAGAAACTATATTCTAGTATAGGTAAGAAGGTAATTAAATAAAATACCTAATTAAGTAGTTAGGATATCTAGAGAAGGAAAATACGTAGGAACCGGAAACTAACCTTAACCTAAAACTTATAGCTCGGTACTATCGGACTACCGAATAATCTAGGGGAATAGAACCTAGAAATTAGGCTAGGGAACTCGGCGATAGATCGAAGATATCTTTAAGCTAAGTATTATCTATACTAACTAGGATAGTAGAGGAAGCTTAGGGCGGAGGATTAATATAATCTAGCGCGTTTAGGGTATAAGCCTCCTAAATAACTATTTTCTTTTATTTCTTAAGTAGCTATTCGGCCTCTTTCTCGAAACGCTTACGCTCGGCGTTAGCCTAAGTAATAGAAGAAAGTAGGCGCTATATTTCTTCGCTCTTTTAACGGATTTCTTCGCCTTTCTAGCGAGCGGCTTCGGCTAAACGGCTACGCTTAGCTAATAGAGCCTCGAACTTAGTATTAGAAAATACTCTATTATAATCCTTTCGATTATTATATATATAGTTATTATATCGCGTATAACTATCTAATATAAAATAGACGATATTTATATTCTAGTAAGGAGTATAGCGACCTATACTTTCGTATTTCCTTTCGAGAGTTTTAATTTTAAGCGCGGTACGCTAACGACGAATAGTAGAGGATTTAAAACGCTTAATAATACCTATAGGCGATATAGTTAGCTATAGAGAGAGAAGAAAACGAAAGTATAGGAGGAACTTACCTTAAGTATATTAAGGATAACGACTAGAAGGAGGGAAGGATAGTATTACGAACTAAGTTACTTAAAAGGTTACTAAGGGAATTAAGATACCTACCTAAGGAAGGAGGTTAGCCGATAGAGAACGAGGCTAAGTTAGGTAACTAGGCTAGGCTAAATCCCCTAAATTCCTTAAATCTTATAGGATCTCGAGAAATTCGGAGGAAGTAATAAGATCTAGGAGAGCTACTAGTATTATATAATATACGCTTATTACCCTAGATAGGACGGTAGTAGTTAACTTCGTTAGTAATCCTATACCTATATTTTAGGATATAGTCCGACGAATAAGTATTCCCTTTATTATCCTAGTCCGCACTCTAGTACCTACTCTATTAAGGAACCCTACCTTAGTTAGAACTACTTGTAGCTCGGATCATAATACTTCCCTTCGACTGGGGAAATCTTGAAGAAGTTGTCTTACGATGAGGAACGTGGACGTCTATGTCACGACACTTGCTTCCGTCACCATAACCGAGATGGAGTCGCCACTGAGACGGTTCAATTTCATTATGTGGAAAAGTTTGGTGTTCCGATTTGGTCTCAATTAAGGTCTGACTGCCGCGACGAGCTCTATCGACTTGCGACAGGGGCCAACGAGGAGGTCGGAATTCCAAATGCTCGGGGTTCAGTTGAAATCTGTTACGACACCATAGTCATGGATGTCGACACCGAGACTGCGAAATTGACCCTTCAGGACGGTACAGTGTTCCAAGCAGATATGGTTATGAGTAAGTGGACTTAGCCGTCTAACAGGTAGACGTGAGCTGATACGGTACAGTCGCCAACGGTATCCACTCGAGACTTCGAAAGAGCATTTTCGGCGACGATGAGAAATATAAGGCGAAGAAATGGCGTGTCTCCATCTTTCGAGTTGCCGTACCCGTCCAAAAGGCCACTGAAGCAGTCGGCAGCGAAAGCAAACTACCCCACTGGATGCTGCTGGACCACGACGGAGAGGGATGCCTGACTTATTTCCATTCTCCAGATGACTCCAACTGGCTCATAGTTACATACCATCTCCATTGTTCGTTGCACCTTCCGACAGGAGGGGGACATGTAGATACCGAGCGCGAGTCCTGGCATGCTGACGCTGACCAAGGCGAGATCTTGGAGGGTCTCGGAGATTTCGACAAGACCCTGATGGGGAGGTTCAGGAACGAGTCCCTCTCGCAGCATGTTCGCTAGCCTCAGCTAACCAGTGTCCAGGGTCGGGACCCAATTCAAGGTATGGGATATGCAAGGCCTCGATCCTCTTCCATCTTGGAATAAAGGCAAGGCGAATCTCACAGGCAACGCAGCTCACGCCATGACTCCGACGCAGGACCTGGGAGGGACATGGCCATTGAAGATGCAGAAGCTGTTTCATTGTTCGGGCCCGAAGTAGGAGCGAACGATATCCCCGACATCCTATCTAAGATTGACAGCATTTGTCGGCCACGTACCAAGGTTGTCTCAGAGACCACACGTCAGACAGCGCCGAATGCCAAGATGACAGACAGACTGGAACGCATGAGTTCATCAACAATTACAGTGGTATGTATTCGTTCGGCTCTGAGTGACCTAGCTGTTATGACCAGCCGGGAGGTTCTAGTGAAAACGTAGCTGTCATGGGGAGGTGACTGGGATAAGTGATCGACAGGCCAAGCTGAACCGCAAATTGTAGATAGTGTCGTCCAAGGCAAAGTCAAGGTCGGCCAATCATGGGGTAATTTTGATTGTCTTTCCGCGTGTCCGTACGGGTAGATCAATTTTTACTGCTGTATGTTACATATCTACCAACTGCCTATCCAAGGAGCGCTGGACTACACGACGGTGCTATTCTCCTACACCAAGCCAGCGAACATGGCAGCATATTCTGTGCTTCACAGCTGAGCCGTCGCCAACCATGAATTCCATTGTAACGAGATACACCTACGTCGTGGACCTACTCCAAGATCTGGTACGCAACCAATCCAACAATCCAACAGTTTTGGTAATCTGTTCTACCCGAGAGGACTTTCTTGATCAGATAATATCAGGGCTGCAAGCGCGGTCGGATGATCCAGCAACGACACTGCATCACGATGGGGACGGGGATCAGGAGGTACCAAGTCGTAGTGCGTCCGCGCCAGATCCAGACTTCTTATCTCCAGTCTTGAGCGCTTTGAATGCCAGCCGGCTCATCAAGTTGGCCTTCTGTCCTACCATTTCCAGTTTGAGGGCATACTTTTCAAGCTGTGGCGCCACATCAATGGCGCCGACTTCATTCAAAACGACAGACCTCATCATCCTTAACCTAGTTGGCCAGCACCATGGGTCATCGGAGTTCACATTTCAGGGTCTCTCACAAACACTTGCCACCGTCGTATCCGCCGGCATGAGGATGCACCAGGCGGTGCAACTGGTTGAATGCAAGGATGTGAACGACCCATCGAACGCTAATTTCGGTTCCACATTGTGGAGTGCAGAGGTTCCATTGCTTAGCATGTCTATCAAGATAGGCGAGGACGGCGCAAGATGGGGCCGCCGAAGCGTGAGAGTGCACAAGATTGCCAGCCGATGGTTCAGAACGGAAAAGAGCACTGATCACAACAAGGCAAGCGGAGCAGTGACACACCGTGCCGAAATCCCAGATTCAGAAGATGAAATGCTTATTTGAATCCAAACGGGCTTCGCTTGCTAATCAAAAGTGCTTTTCTGCACCGTATACATGGAAATGCTCGCCCTTTGTACGCCTGTGGGTATCATAGAATACATCCATAGCCGGTATCGTCAATGTCGTGAAAGCTCTAATCCCTGGTCATATACTCTGCTCCATCTCTGTGATGTAGAGTTTAATGTGCGACTCGAGTTTCAAGTACTCTTCATGGGCTGTGTGGACCTCGTTTTCGATGTTATCCTTGAGGTCGGCCATCTTTCCCAAATGTTAGCAATGATGGAACATACAAGCTTGAAATCACAGGTGATTCTTACCTTCTTTTCCGTTTGTTCGATGCGCACTCTGCGCCTCTCCATCTCTCGCCCCTTCTCGCCCCTCTCCTCTCTCAGCTGTCTCTGGACTTCGCGAAGCTCATCCATTCTCGCCTTATTTGCCTCGTCTCGATCTTTGTGTTTTCTCCTCAGGTCTTCAATGCGGTCTTCCCACTTCTTCAGCTGTCTCTGGAGCAGTTTCTCATTCTGCTCGACTTCGCGCACGTTGTTACCTCGCTCGGCCAATGCATCTCGGTTTTTCGCTGCCCGAGCGTCTTCCTCTTCCTCTTTCTGTAGCTCCACGGCAACCTCATCGAGGACTTTAACACACGACTGAACGTCGTTTTGCACCACCGTGAAACTGTCACCGGATGTTTGAAGGGCTCGGCATCGTCTCTCTAGATGATCAATCTGACTCTTTTCCCGCATGAGGTTTTCGGAGAGTTCCGTCAAGGTATCCTGTAGAGCCGCCGGGCTCTGGAGCACATAGGGTCTCAGCTTCTCACTTTCCTGTCGTGTCCGCACGAGCTTTTCGGTCTTCTCTTCCAAGACAGCTTGCGCACGCGCCTTTTCAGCTTTCGCTCGTTCAAGTTGTTCAGACACTCGTTCCTGTCCCTTGCGCAGCTCCAATAATCTTGCTTTGAGCTCGTCGTTGCGCCGTATTTTTTCTCTCACAGCCATTTCCATCGCCTTCCTATTGCGTTTCATTTCTTCCAACCTCTGTTCCATATCTTGGTTTTCCGTGTATAGTGTCTCGATGCGCGCCTTGGTGTTCTCAGCTTTGTTCAGGTTTTCATCGATGACGCTAGTATGAGTTTCGCGAAATCGGACAAAATTGATGGTGTATGAGAAAATCTTGACCAATCGGTCGTGGGTTGGACGAACAAGGTCGTTGAAAGAGAAATCATTGATCCCGCACTGTTCAAGCATTGTCCGCAGGTTGACGAAAAAGCCCATCAGAAGTCTGGTTTCCACAGGAATTATTTCGGGAAACTCAGCGCAAACATCTTCGGCGGCGGCGCGCATGGCGGGATCAAGGTTATCTCGGGTCGCATTCATCACCAGCTCGCCCAAATGCTCGAAAACCATCTGAATGACTTGTGGGTTTGGCTTCTGTAGGTCGGAAGGCTGGAAGGGAATTCCCATTTCGCTGATGCATGATGCAATTTCTTTTTCGGGCTGTATGAACTGGTCAACAGATGTGTCAACATAGAACGAAGGTGACCACAAACCAGGCGCATGAAGTCGGCAGGGTCTTCCTCCTTCTTTTTGACCCGCCCCTGTTGTTGTTGGGATGTTCGGTACTGTTGACTCATGGCGACAGTCAAGATGTCTGGAAACAGCGACTACAGATTCAAGTTGTGTCTTGCGTCGAGGCACGCTGCAGGTCAAAAGGTCTGTTGGTGATCGAAGAGAAGATGCGGAGGTTGCTATGTTGACGCCTTCTGTTGACATGTCCAAAAGGGGAAGTCGGACGGGAGACCCCAACGCCAAGACATACACTACCCTTCTAGGTACCGGGGTGGTACCTGGGTACGCAACTGTTCAAAACACGTGAATGGATTTACGAGAGCACAAAATAGATTGTACGACTGAGGATTGCACGTTCAGAACTACTCTTCGCAATGAGGCATCATCGCCATCAACTTTTTCTCTAAGAACTTGCTTCAAATACAGCCTGTCCACGTTGCATGAATAACTAACTATCTGGAAGTCGGTGAAAGGGATGCTTAGGCGCCCGTTAGTATCGCCTAGGCACACCTCAGTAGACTCAACGATCCGGTTTGCGTCATCAATATGGAACCCCAAATCGAGGCGCTCTCATCCGAGTGAATCGACGCCGGATGATCTCCATGAAAATTGATCTTTGGAGAAAGCAATTTCCCGTCATGCGCCTCTCTGAAAATCCAACATCTGGCAAGTAGTAAGACAGAGACGGAAGACCATATAATACGATTTCGGAAGAATTCGATCTAGTCCGTAGATTGCGGGTGTCGAGCGATGGGTAGCATTGGTTCGGAATTGAGATTGAGTCCGCGCTTTGCCACTCTCAAGACAAATGCAAAGCGCATCAACGACACTCTGCAATATTCGTGTCAATGGGGTGCAACTAACGATGGGGGCATGAACAGGTTGTCTGGCAATGATGACGACAAGCTTGTGAGAGACTGGTTCATCGCCGAGACTGCTAAATGTGGGTGTTCTCACAAAATCGATGCCATGGGCAATATCTTTGCTATTCGTGCAGGAGAGAACAACGACCTTCCGCCAATTGGGTTAGGTTCGCATCTCGACACGCAGCCGACCGGTGGAAGATATGATGGCATTTTGGGGGTTCTCTGTGCGATGGAGGTTTTGAGGGCCATTCATGAAGCGGATGTCACGACTTACGCACCTCTTGCAGTGGTGAACTGGACAGACGAAGAGGGAGCCAGATTCCCCCCGGCCATGCTGGGATCAGGTGTTTGGGCGGGACAATTCACCCTCGAGCATGGCCAAAGCCGTGAGAGTGTGGACGGGGTAACGATGGCACAGGAACTGGAAAGGATTGGTTATCTAGGCTCGACGCCTTGCTCTAGCCACGACAATCCTCTCTCGGCGCATTTCGAGGTGCATATCGAACAAGGTACAATTCTAGACCGTGCAGAAAAGGCAGTCGGGATAGTGACAGGCGCTCAATCTGTCCGGTGGTTTCGTCTTTCGCTGACGGGACGGGCAGAGCACACCGGCGGCACCCCAATGGATAATCGCAGTGACCCACTGCTTGCAGCGGCAAAGATGATCGTTGAAGTGAATAAGGTTGCTGTCGAACGGGGAGTTCGTGCGACAGTGTCGACAGCAAAATCATACCCTCAAAGCATGAACACGATCGCAGGGAATGTGGAACTCAGTCTCGATCTCCGTGCCCCTACTGATGAAGACATGCAGGGCTTGGACCAATCTCTGAAGCATATTTTCGACGCAATTAACAAAGAACATAGAACTAGCCTCACCATGGAGGTTGTCTGGGATTCAAGAGCAACACACTTCAACCCAGAAATGGTGGATTGCGTACGTCAATCAGCAAAAGAGGTTGGCTGCTCTCACGAAATGACGAGTTTTATTGGGCATGACAGGTGTGTCGACTGGAATCGAGCTGTTCCGTATCAAGTTTCACTGACCTCTGTCGATAGCGTGTACACCTCAAAAGTTGTCCCGACGGCAATGATCTTCGCGCGTTGCCGGGATGGAATCAGCCATAATCCCACCGAATATACTCGGCCAGAAGAGTAGGTGCAAAGTTCTTGCTGTTGGATCTGCATGTCTGACTTATAATAGCTGTGCTGCTGCGGCTGAGGTGTTGCTAGGTGCATATCTTCGGCGTGATGAGTTCCTGCGGCGGAAACATAGGGCTTGACGTAGACATGAACCTGGACGAGGTGGCAGAAGAAGATTGATTCATTGAATGAAAGGATGCGTGGTCGCAGCAATATGAATCTCAATAGCGCTTATTGATCGACTTACCGGTAAAGCACACTTGGACCAGGGCGTCCTAGAGCACCCATTGATGATCAGTAGTGCTTCTCTCCTGAAGGTGCTCGAAGAGTCCCAATATTTGGTTCTTTTTGACACGTGAGGGCGGACCGAAGAAGACTTAGACTCGGCATACCTTCCTCAACCTGGCTAGTGCGTCCGGCTAGTGAATCTTAGTTCCGCAGCGGTAGCCTGTCTCCCTTGCCAAGGCAGGCCCAGCACTTTGCAGACAAGGCTGGCATATGAAAATAATGGGGAATCATTCCATGGCATTTAAGACTCTTCTTCCTCGACCCCTTCCCACAGCAACCTAGTGGAATTGGCTTGTAGCCTTTGCGAGCGATCTCTTGTGCTATTTTGGGCTGCTGCTCAGCACAGATTTCGAAGATGGCGTCCGGTAAGCCCAACATCTGAATCTTGAAGTTTTGAGCGCACACCAATGACTCAATCCGCGGGATCCCCAATCCACTACTCTTGTCGTCGTGCACCGCGGTGCAGAAGAGGCCAAACCGAGCGCGTTGGGCTGTTGCGACTAGCAATTGAACGCAGGGTGGATGTTGCTGTTGCTGCACATCCAATCGAGCACCACTTGCCCAAAGCCCAACATTTTCTAACCTGAAACCACTACCAGCGCCATCGGTATCCATCCCGACCGCCATCCCACCGTCGCCACGAACAGTCCAGTCACCAACCACGACCTTCGACATAGTATCTTACTATAATGAGCTGATCGAATCCGACTCATCGATCACTCCTCCGATAGCAGCGATCGAGTCACTGATATCACTCCTCGCGACCACGCCACTGACCACCATCTCCGAGACTCTGGCCTTACTGTCGACACACACGGCGAAACTTCTCGCAGCACAGCGCAACCCCATCCCACTATCGGCGGGAACAGAGCTTTTCCAGCGGTATCTGGTGTCATCCTTCCAACAGCGACCGTCAACACTCGCGAACTCCGACTTCTCGACGCTCCGCCACAACATCATCACGAACAGCTCACTGTTCGTCAAGCGGGCGAACGAGGCACGCGTCAAGATCGCACACCTCGCACTGCGCTTCGTCCGCGAGGAGTCCACCATCGTCACATACGGATACAGCCGTGTCGTGCAGACGCTGCTCACGCACGCCGCCGAGTCCGGCCGGTACTTCAACGTCATATACGTACTGCCACCCAGTGGAGACACATCCTCAACGCTCTCCAAGTCCATCGCCGCGCTGAACGCACTCTCGATCCCGACAAGCACCATCCCCATCCACGCGCTGAATTTCGCACTCGCGTCGCTGCCAGCCTCGCAGGCGCCGCCTCAATTCGTCACCGGCGCGGCCGCCGTCCTCGAGAACGGGTCGATCATCACGCAGTTCGGGACCCATCAGGTAGCATTGGTTGCACGGTCGCTCTCACTGCCTTTCTACGTCGCGGCCGAATCCTATAAATTCGTGCGGAGCTTTCCCCTGGGCTGTGGACAGGCCGACCTCGCCAAGATGGGTGTGAAGCAGGATGTGTTGCAGTTCAGCACTACCGGCTCAGGCAAGGCTCCGAGCGTCGATGACATGGTCGAGATCACGCCGCCAGACTTGATCTCTGCTTTGTTCACCGAGACCGGCATCATGACCCCGGACGCTGTGAGCGAGGAATTGATCAAGTTGTGGTTCTAGGCTATTTCGTTGGGAGGGCATCAACCTTTGATCGATATCTACGACGGAAAAAGGATCGACCTACTCAGTCAGGGAATCTTTTACCAGATGTTGAACAAACATCTTTTGTCTCGCCCAATGTACTGCCGATGGATTTTCAGACACAACGTGCATGGGAAGTGAAGTAGCAAAGGATATTTACAGAGACCGTACGAGCAAGGTAACGGTCGCAGCAAGATCTGGATTCCGCGTGTATATCGAGGCGCTGCCAATTACTGGATCCTTGGAACCTACGACCTGAACCAGGGAGCCCAAGACTGGTGATCTCAGAGCTCGCAGTCGATGGTTCGATATTAGTGCAAATGGAAAGGAGGATCGAAAGCCCAGATCATAAGACTAGATAGATAGTAGAAGAACTTCAGGAAGCGATCAGGTGGGTAAGTGAGGGCCAGGATGAGTTGGAGAGCACGCCACTTACATACAATCGAGTCGAGCATAGCACCAAGTCAAGTCCTACAAGTAGCTCTATTTACTGATAAATCCAGTGCGACGGTCTCCTCACAAGAGCAATTCAAGTCCCGTTTCGACCATTGCATTTTCAATCGCATTAGAGAGCGCCGTAAGAAGTATCAATAGCCTTCCTCCAGCGCCTTGCTCTCTTTGTGGTAGATCATATGCTATAGACAAGAATAAGGCCTGCCCTTAAAGTGAGACGTCTTCGTTGAGTCTCTTTTGATTTTGGGGAGCCCCCCTTCGTCCAGCAATCGTCACTTAGTCATAGCATTCAGTTGAGGTCATCGATTTCTCTCTCCTTCGCTCGGAGGGCTGCTCTCATCTCTTCAGCTTCCCGCATCAACTGCGTTCGTCGATCGTTCCGCAACCGATCAGAGTGCTGAGGTGTCAAGGTTATTCCATCTGGCCTCCCATTTGGTCGAACAGGTGGAACGTCGGAGCTCCGATCATGATGCCCTGCTCCAGCCAAGGCGGGATCAAGTTGCATTTCCTCTGCTGCGGCGGCTGCAAGTCGCGCTTGTACCGTGAAGTCCTCGGAAAGTCTTTGGGTCTCTCCTTGTCCATCAATTCGTGCACTGTCGGGAACATAACCGGTGTAGTCTACTGTAGGAGGAGGTCTCTTCCTCTTCGACGCCGGTGTAACTTGAGTTGAATCATGCCCGCTATCAATCGCCACAGGGGATGGAGGTTCAGGCGACATTGATGTCGCGGGCTGTGAAGGCGCACCCTCTGGTCTCGGAGCGTCTAGATATGCCGGTACTACCCGCTTCCGCCTTTTGATTGTGGACTTCTTCATTTGGACAGGTCGATGGGAACCATGAAGTTTGTGATACAAGCCACATGCATTGCATATAGGATGACCAAGTTCATCTCGTCTCCAAAGAGGAGTGACAGTAGTCCCGCAGTTCTTGCACGCGACAACCATGGATGTGTTGCCTTGACTCGGTGGTTGTGGAGGAGCAGCGGCGGGAGCAATCGAGCCTGTGGTGGAGCCGGCAGTACTTTGAGCATCACTTTCTGCATCCGCTACTGGGCTAATGACTGACGAAACATTGGTTGTTCTAGCGACTCTGTTGTTGTACGCAGGACAACCTCCGCATCCTTCGGCACCACCAGCTCCGTTACAATTACCTCCGCCAGGGCAGGACCCTGGTGTATGTTCAGGAACTCTGTACGGGATGCTGGGTTGTGGAGTTTGGGATGGCGATGGTACTGCGGCGGAAGCGACAGGTGAAGTCCCTGTGGTTTGACGTGGACTGTCAGATGGAGCGACTGAGCTGGGACGTTTGAAATTGGAAGGTCGGGGAGCGTTGCGGGTCTTTTGGTAGAGCCCACAGGCATTGCATATTGTATTGCCGGCTGGTGAGCGTCGCCATAGAGGGGTTTTGGTGGTCCCGCAATTGCTAGACAATAGGTAAGCAAATAGGTCTGATAGACGGATCAGATGAAACCGATTCTAGAGTACACCAGCAAATAAATATTCAGTGGACCAGCAGACGTACCTGCACATTTGACCTAATCCACTGGAGTCCTCTGCTTGCTCAGAGGGTTCGCTAGATGTCCCGGCGACATTGATAGCGTCTTGACCAGGGCTAACTCGTCTCGAATAACTTTGGTCAGATGTAGCCTCACCCCTGTGGGTGTCATGAATTACATGTGAACCATGGCGTTCACCCCGCGCGGAGGACACAAGTTGATGAGCGGCGTCGAGGTCCTCGGCGGAAGGTTGCCGGAGAAGACTGTCTTTCTGACCGCTGAATGAGGTAGAGTGCTGCAAGGCATCCATTGCACCACGCACGGCCAACATGCCGACTCAGTCTCTCGTCGTGTTAGCAAACCTCAACACCCATCCAGCTGGGGAATGTGCTGCGGGATAAAATCGTCTGTCGTTGATGAAGCAGAGAACGATTCCAGACACGAGATCTATAATCAACTCCCGTGAATGTTGACTGAGCACGGAGTACAGGCGCAAGTCACCAGCGGCTTCTTGGCGGGACGTGACAAGACGAGGTGGCGGTGTCAAGATCTTGAGAGCGAAGGCCACGTAACGCGGGCGATGAAGCTGAAGGAGGACTGTGTTGTGAAAGAAACTCCCCGCTACGAGTGAAGTATGGCTAAGTTTGAAGGGGAATGGCGAAAAGGCGACTTGAGATGTGCAAGGAGATGAATCCGTCTGAAATGAACAGGGAGACTTGGACAAAAGAGCCCGACACGGAGTTGGAATCCTGGTATCGCCAAAGTGGAGAGGAAGCCTAGAGACGTGTCGCTCAGGCAGGTACAGTTGGTAATGTAAATCATCCCGTCTCTAATTGGCCAAGACGGAAAAGGAATCATCACGTGCCGTCCAGTCACATTTAGCATCATCCTCGAACCTGCAACGAGTTGAACTCTATAAGCAAAGCCAGACATGCTTATTCTTTCATCTGAGCAAAATCTCCTGAGTTCGAGTGGGATCAACCCTGATGCTCGCACGAATCATGTACGTTTCACAGAAATCGGGCGACATTTACCGGTCGTCGACTCATCGCTAGGTTGGCCACACTGAGACGCACCACTTCCCTTGATACAGCCTATAGCCGCAACAGGCATACGTCGGACGACTCTTCACCTGGCCGGAGAAATATGTCACCCGAAGCCAAATGCTACCGACGTTTTCTGGCAAAGTTTGGTAGTTCGCTGCACCTCCAATGCTGATGGGACAACACATGCGCATTCGCCTGCTCTCTCGACTCGAATCGTCGACTTAAGCTAACTGGGTTGTGATCGAGCATGAGGTGGAGGAAGACCCAGTTGCTCGGGGGAGGGCGACCTGCTGGACAGTGCTTCCGTTGAAAGAGCACCATTTATTTCAACAGCTCTTGCCTATGGAATCATGTGAGTTCCATCCCCTTTGGGCTTGATATATTGCACCAATCGGCCCTGAGAAAAGGAAAGAATGGTATTCTGAGATCCATGTTGGACCGTGCATGAATGGAGCGAGATCTGACTGCACAAATCCCCATGCCTTCTGGGTCATCGAACGGTAATGTGTCCCCAATGGCGCTTTTGACGGTCGCAGTCTGGCGACGTTGCATTCCTCTATAACACTTTGCATAGACTAGATTTACAATTTTATCCATATTGCAATTATAGCCCAGCCCCCCACCTCTTTGTTTTATATTGTTCCCTTCGACCGCAATGCTGCACAAAACTCGAAGCCTTCTCCCAGGTTCCACCATGCGCTCACCGAAAACTCCAAATCGTCGTCCGGGACCTTGCTGACCCAGTAGGATCAGTCTCAGCTTCATGAAACATCATTTTCAGAAGGGATCGATCGAAGGCGTCCGACACAAGACTCTAGACTCCTCTTTCTTAGACTTGTTCTGCGCCCCAACCAGCATCAGCGTCTCTCATGTTCGACGGAGGTTCGATGGAGGGCATGAATTCAAGCGCAACATAGCCCAATCCGATAAAGCCAACAATTGAGCCGGCGACGATGCGCAAGGCGTTATCTTCCAGTATGAGGCATCCCACGAAAATGTAGACTGAAACGGAGTTAGCAAGGGACTGGGTAATGCCAGATCGTCACTCACAAACACCACGACCGAGGAATGAGAACAAAAAGCTCGCGTATCGGGGGACATATGGAGGAACTTGAGGTAGGAGTTCAAGGCCGGCGACAACTGCCATCGTATGTTAGCTTCTTTTTCCATGTCGCATAGCTCTTATGAGAGGGCCGAACCTAGGCCAAAAATGATCACGTAGACTCCAACGATGATGTTTCGGCTATTGATTCTTCAGTGCTCGGACGATAAGGTGAATATGCGGTAGACATACAACAGGCTCCCGTGAAAGAATTGGGTTATGCCTGTATTCCAAGAGACGGTTTAGTTCTGGCAACGGTGCAGCGGGAGTCGTTGGGATGGATCGCACCTCCAAGTACCATGACACCACCAACAGCCAGGTTCACCAGCCGGCTATCATCAAATGTTAGTAGTGATCTAGTGGCTTGCCGGGTGGCATGCCATGCTTTTGCGCAGCCTGCGCATCTGGACGTACAAAATATTGGAGAAGTCCATTTTGGTAGGAATTTAGACCGTGCTGAACAGGAGATGGATAGCGGACTCGAGCAGGGACTGATGCTGAGGGCGACGAGAAGGTCTAGGTGTTGACGATTGGTGATGGGTAGAGATGGATATGAGGCTGTTGGAAACAAAAGAATCGAATTTGTTGGAAGGTCAATGCTAACAGCAGGAAGCTAAGTCGGCAAGCTTTACGAGGCACCAGCACGGACTGGCAGTAATTAGCAGGCAGAAAGCAAAGGGGGAGGAACTGAAAGTTGTTCGAATCCTGCGGTTGCCCGCCAAACCTGGGGCAGCCTTGAACCTCCTAGATTGGGAACCCGCCCAGCAATAACCTTAATTTCTTAAGGGGCCTCTTAGGCGGTCTGCACTTTCTTCTAGGGGAAGGCATGGGCACTGGACACTACGTATGCCAAGATGCCAAGGCAAGTAGGCTCGCTGTAATATCACGTGGAGGCAAGTAGACTGCTTTTAGGATGGCCTGCATTCGAGCCACGAGTCTACTCGCATCGTCTACAGTAGATGCTAACCATGCTTGCTACGATGGCGTTGTGGGTTCTGCAGTCTACTGCTATTGGTGCTTACACGAGAAATTTGAGCGACCTGATCCTGTAGAGAGACCAACATCAAGTGGACAGCAAGCCAAACCACTCAGTCAAGTGAGATTGGTTGGTGCCGATTGCGAGAAATAGCATATTTGAATGTAGCTCTGAAAGTTATCCATCGTTGGTTGACATTCGACTTGACCAAAGCAATTTCACTTCCCACCATCAACCCTCCCTCTCCAGCATCACACTCAAAGTCCTTTGCAGGGCGCACGGGCGAACATAGATGGATATCGTGCAATCGCCCCCCATATCTCTGCATAGATCTAGCCTAAAGTATGGGATCGGATGTGGATTCCCATCTTGTTCCCAGTGACTTCCAGCCATTTATCCACAGCATCTTTTGAGTGAACCGTTCAGTGTCCGTCCAAAGCAGCAACTGCAGGAAGCGACCGGGGCGGAAGCGAGTCCATCAACTTGTCCTTGTTTGCCTGCAAGTAGTCCTCGAACCTGGTCAACTTGATGCCATACTTCGCCTCCAACGCCTCAACATTAACATGCCTCGGGGACTTATTCGTCAACTTCTCGAACACTTGGAAAAATTCTGTATTCGCTGTCTCCTCCAGCTCGGCAGACGTGCGCTTATGAAATTTAATGTCGATGCCACTAACCCGGGTCAAGATATCGGTCACTTCCCGTGCCGTAAGGTTATCGCTTGCCATATCGAATGCGTGGCCGCTAAATTTGGCGGGGTCTAGCAGCGCTGCTACTGCAAACTTGCCTACATCTGCCTCATCGAGATACGGCATAGTCTTGCTGTCGTCCAAGGAGGTCACGTACGTTCCTAGGCGGGGAAGTGCTGGATATCCGTGAGACAAAGCTGAATTTGGCATCAAAAAATCATAAGCCAACACTGGTGGGCGGAGGATCGTGAAGTTTGGAATTTGGCTCTCCCGAACCGCAGTCTCGACCTCCGCCTTTGCCGTATAGTATTGCCCCAACCATGGGTGCACGGATGATGGCAAAGCAAGATTTGTACTCATCTCGTCCACGCGCGAGGTGGACGATAAGACGATGGTTGTGAGAGTCTCACCCGCGCCCGCCTTGCAAGCATTTATGATCCTTTCAGCCTGTTCCTTGGCCTTGCCAGGCTCAAACACAGTTGGATTGAGGAAGACACCAGTGCAACCTGCGGCCGCGGCGCGGAACACTGTTTCTGGCTCTTCGTGGGTGCCCCGGAAGAGAACAACACCTTTGTCCTGAAGAGCTTTTGCTTTTGGGGATGTCTGGTCTCGAACCACGGCGTGAACCTTTACCCCAGCAGCTAACAGGTATTTGACCACTGCGCCGCCCTGGTGGCCTGTGGCTCCCGTGACAATATAAGTCGACATTGTGGCTTTCGGCGAAATCGGTTTGGTTATGGTTGCTGTTGTGATATTCGTGTTTCGATTTCCTTTTCAACTTTTGATGGGGACGATCCAACAGCTTTATAGCTCCATGACTACCAGCAAACTACCAGCAGACCCAGATAGCCTTGGGTCGACATAGACCATTGATTAGTAAGGGAAGAACGGGCAAGTGTCGTTAACAACATGAACTCCGTATGGTGTCCATGAGCATTGCCGCAAGCATGAGGCAGCACATGTGCCCATGGACTGATTGACTTGACGCAAAGGCGCAACGACGGGTAGAGTACGGACCAACCTGATGCCGCGAAATTTCTCGTTTACCATTTTGGGAAAAGTGGAGTCCAGCTTACGACCAGTTAGTATATTGACGTGCGTACTTGGTACTTGGTCATGGATGGGGATGGGGATGGGGATGGGGATGGAGAAAAGAACATGCCGCTCGATCGGTCTTTCCTTCACTGTGGGATTCCCGTGCCATAAGGAGGCCCAACTTATGTTGGAACTTGTAAGGATCTCCACCACAGCGGATCGCGGTCGTGTACAAGGTACATACCTTTCGTTGTCGCCGTTACTCGGCTGAGCTTCATAACAATAGCCCTAGCTGACGACTGTCCCGTCTGAGTCTGTTAATTAGGGCCCACCCAGCTGGAGCAACACCAATATACGGATAATCACAAGCAGCGGCCGGGAAATCCATATAGTTCCATAGTCCTTCGTCCCCGTGGTTCTCAAGGTACTTACAGATTGCCCAGCAGTCGTTTCTTGCTCGCTGTTGTGACCACCAACATTTCTTAGCGCACAGTAGGGCCAGCCAGTACGACAACAGCAGGAGGGCTCTAATGTCCAACGTATTGAGAAGGCTCACAAAGCGTGAAGACAACCCTTCGACGAATTGCATGTATTGGAGCAGAGCCATATTATTTCCAGGATCGACGCGTAGGAGGCGACACAATCTACGAAGAACGCCCAAATAGTGGTGCTGGTCGCAGGTGGAAGTTTTCTTCACGCCGAACATCTGCGCGAGTTCGGCTGGGATGCCGTCTATACCAGGCCTGTTGTCGTTCAATCGCAGAACGTCTTCAGCCACTTCGTCAAACATGCTGAGCCACATGCTCTGCATGCTCACGCTCTGGGACTGAAAGATGGAGAGGAGGGATCCGAGGCCACGCTGATTGCTGAGCCAGAAGAAAGGCACAGGTCGATTATCCAGGGCCACTTGATAGTCCTCCGTGGCGTCCGCAAATGATAGAGATCCCAAAAACATTGAAGTGGTGATCGCAGCGTCAATATTATCTGCCTGTGGTGTTGCTGCCGTGTCGAGGTATTGCCTGAGTCCTGAACACGCCTGCATTGAGTGGTAAATCTCACTGGCGCATCGCTGTCGAGGTGATTTCCGGTGATACCGGTAGTGGCAGGCTGCTACTGCGAGTGTACAGTGCATAGCATGTGACTCCTGGGGGTGGCATATTTAGCGGCACCATCCAAGAGAGTCTAGACATAGATGTCATGACAAATGGAACGAGAAAGCCCTTACATGTAAAGCAATACGGATGACCTTTTGAAAGGCAGTCGCCCAGCTTGACAACGGTACCATGGTCTCCACGACCACTCCGACAAAATAATTGAATAGGGTGGAATCCAGGTTTGGGAGCCAATCTGTGCTGACTACTGTCTTGATTTCCTGGCTCATGTGAGGCGCAAAAGTGGCGGCTCTGGCTGTGTAGACGCACCGTTCGCCCCGCCTGACGCAGTTTTCACATGCATGTATCTGTTCATCACACTTTCCGCATTTCAGCGAGCCAGCCAGCGAGGCGAGCGAAACCAAGGGATATATGATAATGCCTTGGCTGGGTTGGGCTACCTTATCGCACTCACCTTGACGCGCCGCCGTTTACATGCTAGACATCCCTTCTCAGACTTGCGGTGGGTCCTCCGAGGCTTGTATTTCTGCACACGCCCGCCGGAAGACTGGGAGTCCCTGAATGAGAGCACCTGGAACATACCGTCGCTGGTGTTTTGAGGCATCTTGGTTCCATCTACACTAAGACTCCGATCAGGGAAAAGGAGAACCAAGAAGTAATGGACACCTCTGCGGCTATCGTCTCTCTCGAAATGGAAAACGACATGATCAGGTGAGTTCAATATATTGCAGACGTGCAGTCTCTTTCAGGACAAGGTTGAATCCGGATAGAGGAGCCGTGGATCAGACTTCCTCTCGTTTACCCTTTTGGGATTACCGTGGAATTTATGCAACTTTGTCCCAGTGGCGTGCCCAATAATCAGTGCTGATCCTGACAGTCCTCTCAAATTTCTCTGCAGTCTGTATCAAGGCACCAGCTATTTGGTAAGCAGCTTCAGAGATTCGTCCGCTCCGTCCGCGATCCGTGACTGCAAGCGATCACGCCTGCGTGAACTCGGCCGAGACCATCACTATGGAATCAGCGTTGGGCCAGTGGCCAGATTTCCAACTAGCTGTTCTTTCATTTGCCAGTGTGTCGCTCTTGAGATGAGCTTTCTAAGCTAAAGTTCTAAACTAAGGCCGTTTATCATAAATCATACTGTGTAGAATCAATCCACGGGGAATATTTGAGTTAGGGACCCTTTGACCGACTCTCCCCGCCACCAGGCCACCGACCGCTATGCTATGCTGGGGTATCATATGCAATCCCACGCTATGCAGAATACCTCATCAAGACAGATAGATGCATCTCCAACCTGTACTCCTTCTAAATCTATGCTTGCAAGCTTGACTTGGGCCTTTCGGTGACCGACATCAACCTTGGATTTGAGTGTGGGGGAGTTGGTCCAGTGGTGACCAGGTTGTTTGGTGGCCGAGGTTGTGGGTTGTGTGATGGCTTGGCCTTGTGAGTTGCTTGGTCCAAGCCATTGAGTACGATTTCCAGGACAGGTTTTGTGGCCGAAGTGATGCTATGGTCATAGTCGGTTGAAGGGGTATCTGAGCATGGGTCTGTGCCTTGAGTGCTAGGGGGTGTGTCGGGATTAGGGGAGTCGGTGGACAGTCGAGGTGAGAGATCATTATCAGTGTCTCTAATGAAAAGAGCCAGGTCTGCACGTCTACGCGTGCTTTTACGTCTGTCGGTGCGTTTGCTGGACCGAATAGGCTCACCATCATCATCTAGCGACCTCTTGGAGCTTGAGCTTCGTTGTGAGGAAGTGACGGAAGGGCTTCTGGCGCGGAACTTGTCCCCAGGTCGGTCTGCACCGCTGTCACCCTCCCTCTTGTTCTTCTGATGAACCATATCTTGCATGAGTAGCGTTGTGAGTTCAGATCGGCTGTTTCGGATTTCTCGATCACTAAAGGTCTGGGCAGGGCTGGGCAAAGGTGAGGCTGCCTTGGGTTTGCGAGAGACAGCAACAGGCGTAACGGTAGGACTGTTTCGGCCCCTTGGGATGGACCCATCTGTGCTTCGGGCAGAGTCGTAGTGTGCACGTGTGACCTCGTCTCCTCCGTAGCAGATGTGCAAAGGAGGTGCAGAAGTAGGGAGGGAGCCTCGGTGTTCGTTCGTGTAGAAGAGGGAGTCTCGATCAAAGTCTTGGATGCGTGGCAGGTGAACAGTCACGTCCTGGTCGTACACCTGACAGAAGGCGACTAGTTCAGGTTCTCCGCCGTAAGTTCCGCCGCGAGACATCAGTGTCAAGTATTCTTCGAACGTGTCTCCGGGTTCTTGACGAGAAGCTGCCGCTGCAGATCGTGTGGTACGTCGCTGTTGAACATCATTCTTGTGGACATAGTCGACGAATAGTGGTCGGAGTTCTCGCATGTGGTCGACGATTTTGGTACGGATCTCAGGGTGTCGGATTGGGGTGCCGTAGAGTTGATCGGAAAGAGATGCGAAGAGACAGTTGCCTGAGGAATGTTGAATAACACACAGCAGAGGGAGAGGATGAGGGAGAGGGAGAGTGCATCGACGTACCATCACCAGCTATCTGCTTTTGATACATGCCCCTTCGCTCAAGGCCAGGCCACACAGCCTTGGGCTTTCGAACCATGCTGGGAAGCTGTAGGTCGAATGCATGGTTAGCCATGATCGCGAATGATCCATTGACAAGGTCATTTGCAAGTAGAAGCGGGTAGAATGAGACGCCCTGAGGCTGGAAAAGACAGTTGAGCCGCAGGAATGAAGAACTTGATGGCCGCCTGCTCCTGTTGTCTTGCAGGGCACCAAGGGGCCTCTCAATAAAGGATGACAACAAGCAGCAGCAGTAGCAACGAACGTAGTCACGGACAGACTGGCACTGGCACTGACACTGGCACTTGCAGCAGGGCAATTGTGGAGTTTGGTGGATGGCAGTCAGGAGCTGAGTGGTCAGTTGTTGCCCAGAAAGCCCTAGCGGACATAGACTCGGACTCTTGACTTCGTAGTGCCCATGAGACTATGGACCATCAGCCCCCGTGAGTGCCTGGCAGTGCCTGGAATGGAAAGGGAGAGGGCGTTGAGATAAGGGGTGAGGGGAAGCGCAGTTTGTGGCTGTTAGGGGTCGAGGGGCGCTGTGGCTTACCCACGTAGGTACCGGAGGTACCACAGAACGGAGTACTCAGTCCTTGGTTAAGTCGGTTTCTGCCCAGGCTTGCCTGAGTCTCTGTGTGTGTCTGTGTGTGTGTGTGTGTGTGTGTGTGTGGCAAAGGGGTGGTCCAGGCTTGGAAATTGAGAAGCCTGCAATTGGCTGCAACGTCGCTTAACAGCGGAAAGTGCGTGTCGATGTCAACTGATGAGAGCGTATCCAACGTCAAACGCCCTATGATGTTCTGATGTATGATAGAATATTCAGAGGTTTGAGTCCAGATGAACACAGAATTGAATTATTTGAACAGATGTATATATACTATCCTGTCTGTTTAGGTCCTCACCATGAAATTCCGTAGGCCCTGAGCATAAACCTTTTTCTAGGCCTTCAGCATACATGAACTGCCATCAATAGCCTCACTATTCACCGGAAAGCCTTCTATTGTGATCGCTTCAAAGTCTGGCCCGACGTGAATAGCGGTCTAAATAGCAACAGCCTGAATAACAGACACTCTTCATCCGGTCTCTTCACCCTTCAGGGAACATCTCTCCAGCCTGCGAATCGCCGGCAATGATCGCCGGCAATGACGAAACTCTAAAGGCTTGGAAAATGGGTGAGAAGAAGGTCATTGTCATAGGTTGAGATCATGTTGTTTCTCCGTCTCTATTACAAACCTCCAAGGTTCTCAGGGCTCCAGACTAACACTCTCAGAGCGGGTATTTCTGGTTTCACAACAGCGCTCCTGCTGTCCAAAAGTCCCCGGTACAAAATCACCGTTGCAGCAAAGCACATGCCTGGTAATTACGACATCGAGTATGCGTCACCGTGGGCGGGTGCGAACTGCTTGCCGTGAGTCGATGAGTCAGTGTTCAGTTTAGCTTGAGGAGATGAACTCACAAGCGCCCAGAGTTTCGGCCAACAAGACGCCAGCCCAAGAATGGGGCAGAGACACGTGGGCTACCTTCGCAGACCTGGCTGAGACCCGTCCTGAAGCAGGTCTTCACTTTCAAACGACAGAGCTCTTCGATCGCAAGAAGGATGCCTCATCAGTGACAGGACAGTGGTTCCAGGAGCTTCTCTCGCCTAACCTTGGGTTCAAAACCATCTTCAAAGACGTGAGTTCCGGCATCAGGCGCCGAAATATCTCGATATATCTCGATGTAGCTCAGAGGTTGGCCGATTTAGTTTCGTGAAATACCGAAGTCTCAGCTGAAAACTGGGACTGATAGCGGTATTGAGTTTACCTCGGTCTGTATCAACGCCGCGATCTATCTTCCCTGGCTTGTCTCTCAATGCCTTAAGGACGGCGTAGTGTTCAAGCGACAAGTCTTTGGACACATAACGGATGCAGCGAAAGGTGGTGTCCATCATTCCGGGGCGGCTGTCGACCTCATTGTGGATTGCACAGGGCTTTATGCCTCTAAGCTTGCTGGCGTTGAGGACAAGACCGTCGTCCCCGCGAGAGGGCAGATTGTGGTTGCCAGAAACGTCGCTCCAGCAATGTTCCCAGTCTCTGGAACGGATGACAGCTCAGAAGAAGCGTGCTACATCATGACTCGAGCTGCCGGAGGAGGCACGATTCTTGGAGGCTGCTACCAAAAGGGCAGCTGGGAATCCCAGCCTGATCCGAGTCTTGCAATCAGAATCATGAAGCGATGTGTGGATCTCTGTCCAGAATTGACAGGGGGGCAAGGGAGTCGACCACCTGGACATCATCCGCCACGGGGTTGGCCTGAGACCTGTCAGGAAAGGCGGCACAAGGATCGAGCTTGAAAAGATCGATGGGATCCTTACCGTGCATAATTACGGTGCAGGCGGCGCAGGAGTAAGTTGATCCATTTTCGTCCAAAGGGCTGCGAAGTTCCCGGGACCCAGAGTCTTGCTGACTTGAACGTCTACGACGTCTAGTATCAACATTCCTACAGATGTTCTCCAGCAGCGGTAAAATTGGTCGACCAGGCTTTTGGCGGAAAGGCGCGACTTTGATACCGTTTAGGTGCCTGACTCGTATGAAAACAATTTTTCAGATTAGACGGGGTGTATCTGAGATGAGCATTTAGTCCAGCTTACTGTTGGAAGCAAGTTTAGAGCCTTCAGTCGGGCGTTTTGCCGAAGAAGCTTTGAAACGAGATTGTCAGACGACTTGATCAGCAAATAGATGATTCCCGCCTGGGTGCTGCCATGGGCTCTCAGCTGGGTGGCTATTTGTCCTCTGTGCGATTGTGATTGACTTGAAATGAGACGTTGGAAGTGACATTCTGACTCGCCAATCTGGAGATTATCGATCTGGCGAAGGAGGCCGCCGCTGACGGAACCAAACTCTCCGAGGATGCGCCACACCCGCAAGCTAATTATTTATTGAGTCCGCTGCTTGTAGCGTGGGCCTCGTATTGATCTAGATAGGATACGGAGTACGGAGCATGTTCGGTAGGATCTGTTTGGAAGTACCGACACCGACTGCCTCGTGCCATACAAACAATTCAAGGTTTGGAAAAGAAGCAGCGTTTGGGTTTCGGGCAAAATCACAACAGGCAGGTGGAGGAGAGATCGGACTGCGTTAGGGCAGGAACAACCCAATGCACTCAATCGAACAGATTCTTCACTCGCACCCGCAATGTTCGGTGTCTCGTGCCGACAGACGCGACCAGAGAGGGTAGCAGAGATGTCCGCGAAGATCAAAGTCTTGACCATTCGCCAGCGTAATCGAATGGCTCAAGTTTCAGTGGGATGCTGAACGGATGTTTCGAGCCGGGGTGAAACAAGGTGCTCTCAAAAGGAAGCGATCGATGCAGGAACCAGGCTTCTACACGTTTATTGTACTCCGGACGCCCTAGTCTTCGCTACTGGCAGTCCACAGGTCTCTTGGCCTGTTCTCCGGACGCACCTTACGAGGAGCAGGGGATGCTCGGGATATTCAATGAGGTGTGGTCATGTCTTTGGCTCGGGTACATGACACTGCAGCCAAAGTCCGTCCAACAGTGAGGTGCCAGTGGTTAGTACAGATATGCATTGCCGATACTTGGAAGAGTTCTCAGGTGTTGACTCGCTGAGTCTCTGTTGACCTGGTGAACTGGGAACGGTAAACGTCATCTTCAAAACAAAACAAGCTCGGATGCCAGGTTAGACTTGCATCTCTGTCCATCATTGCTTCTCTTGGAAAGATGCGATTCTACGACATGCATGCACATTTGAGACATTCCAGGACAGAAAAGTGTTCCTTGGTTCGGCATTCCGAGTGGAAGCTCTTCAACATGCGCCGTTTGCCATCCCCAAGCCAATATTGTCCACGTAAAGGATGGCCAGAGTGATACCAGGTAATTAAATTCAATGCCGTGTCAACGTGCAACGTGGTTCGCAGCGGTGACACTGGCACATTTATCTCTTGTACTCGGTACAGCATCTAGGACTCGTGTTCCTTGCATGCACAGTCAGATGCCTGTTGTCCACCGAGGAGGGGAGGGACTAAGCATCGGTTCCTTATCACTACCTCCATACCTCTCTAGGGACTTCGTAGGAAGTCCGTCATTTGGGTAATTATGAGGAACACACCGTGCTGGCTAGTGGTTAAGGAATATCATGGTGATGATCATAGGTATCATACGAGAGCTGCTCCGGGATATGTTGCGAAAGTGGTCCAAGAAGTCAACCACAGAAGGAGTAGCTAAGCACTTCGACTGGCTGGCTGGAGAGGCCGCCATGATTGGACTAATATCCTGACAGAGAGGACATCAACCAATGCGTGGGTCGAGATGTATTGGTGATAACAAGATTGGCGGGCATGTTGTGAACTACGATGCACTGTCGGAGCCTGATCGCTCTGGAGACCATACAGGGTGCTGCTGGTCATTGCCCTTTGTGAAAGTGGAAGTGGAAGCCAGAAGCAGAAGTGGAGGGCCCTGCCTTGCCCGGAGCTGCCGGGTGCGTCGGCTTGGGCGTGTGCGTGTGCGCGTGCGTGTGTACTTGTGTGCGTGGCGTTCTGTCAATTACGAGCAGTCCAGTTCAGTAGTACTCCGTACAGTACTCGTAAGTACATGGCTTTGGGGCCTTTGGGGTCCTTGGAGGCTTTGGAGGCTTTGGCTCTAGAAACCCTTGGAGATGCCCCCCGGGCTCCAGACCGAACATTACTTTCTTCACCAACACCTGTCACTGTCATCCACTGGCAGCAAAGCTGTCTACCGAGTTACTAAATCGTAGCTTGGTTAACTAAACCCGGTTCGGAACCATCTTCAAGCCCATGCCAGTGCCGGGTGCCCACCCCAGTTCGCTAGGGTCGACTAAGTCCACTAGCTTGAACCACCTACGGTAGGCACTCCGTACCTAACCTCGTAACCGACAAGCCCCAAGTCCAAGCCTGCTCGCCTGGGCCCTTCGACATCACCGGTGCGAGATATTCCATTCCGTCACTTGCAGCCACACAGCGCACACCACAGCCATACTCCGACTATCAAACAAACCTCTGCAGACACCCACCCGTTGCCAGTGCCATCACACACTCCTCACTTGGTGACTCTCACGCCGCACCCTCGTTCATCGACACCCTTTAACCTTCAACCTTCAACTCTCGCCACTTTTCTATCTTTCTTCACTCTCGTTTCCATTTCCAGAAGATAATTCAGCAATCCATCACCGTCCTTGTGCACCTTTCCCGTGCTCGCCACAAATACTCTCGGCCTTCCAAGCCCTCCATCCGCTATCTTTCGTCATTCCTCATTACCCTGGTCTTCACCACCAAGAGCGCTGAATTCGAGAACACCTCCACCACCGCAACTGCGCAATCCACTCCGCTCCCGCATGACTCCCATTCTGTTCCAATACACTCCTCCCCAACGTCTATTGCAGTGGGGACGAGCCCAAACAGCCTGACATTCGCCCGACTGCGCCTCCCAATCCGTTGACTCGTCATTGATGTCTCTCATTCAGCCTCATCAACCTCCACCACGACTCACCCCAGTTCCTTGACTGTGCCATTCTTTCACTCAGCGGCAAATTTGCAGCCGGTGGGCTCAGCATGGGATTTTGGTCATTCGGCGCGCGCAAGAAAAGCCGTACTGTCGACGGCCAAGACCAAGGGCACCAGAACTTGTTGGAAGAGGAACACATCACCGTGCCTGTTCACCTTACTCCAGGTGCACCTCGAGACTTGGCTACCATGTCGCGCACTCACAGCAAACCCGAACACGATGGAAAACCACGCCGCCTATCCAAGCAGCGGAACTCGAGTCAACAAGGCAGCGTCCCTCGTTCAGTCACCATCCCAGCCTCAGGTGCTGCAAATGACTCGCGGGCGATGAGGAGGGCCTCAGATCTATACTCTCAGAATCCTATGTCGCACTCTAGTCTTGGTCCTGAGGAGTTTACTGCACTTCCTCAGCCCGCTCCAACACTACTTGCGAAACCGCGATGTTATGATGCCACCAATCAAAGAAGAAAATCTAGCAAAAGGAAAGCAGAGGACTATGCTCGAGAGAGAGAGGTCAGAGCCATGAGCTCGCCTGATCCTACCCCTGGCTTGAAGCGACCAACAACTTACTCTGGCTCGGGCCCATTGCGTCGGGACACAAGACAAGTGCCTGGAAAGCTCAATCGCCGACTACAGAGACCAGCGTCGGAGGTTTCACTTCCATTGCCCGAAACTATCCAGGAGGCAGACGCCAATGCAAATCAAGCTTCCTTTAAAATTGGTATCTTCGCTGCTCTCAGCCCACGCCCAACCTTGACTTATGTTGGCAATGCTCGACCATCTCTTGGAAAACAACCATTACGGATCAAACCGTCTGTACAGCAAGCAATTGAAGAAGAACCCGCCTCGTCAAGGAAAAGAATTGATGAACTGGCTGATGAACTGGACGCAGGTGGCTTGAGAGAGCTCATGGAGCGGGACCAAAGACGACATGAGAGAAAGAGAGCGGCTGAGAGAGATCGCCTTCAGCGCAAACTTCAACGGAAGGCAGACAAACAGCGAGACGAGGAACTTCGCGGTCGGCCAAACCAGGGACTGTCCGCTTCCTCATTAAATGCCGACGCTCGTCGACATGGTCACCATTCTTTAGATGGTCATGCAGAGTCTTCCTCAGCTGCTGTTCAGCAAAGGACTCCAAGTCAACAAGGGCGGCAAGGAGCTGGTCCGTTTGCCGATCCTCAACGTCCAACTCACCGCACCGTTCACGCAATTAGAAATCCTTTCGATGATGAGAAAGACGTTGATCTGAGCCGGGATCCTTTTGATCATGATGACGAGGAAGGCCCGCCTGTTCCCGTCAGGTCACCTTTGAGGACTGTATCCCCAGTCGATGCTCCGGGCAGGCATCAGCCTTCTCGCGCCATGACATTCTCACCACCAACATCGCCGGTGCAGCGGCCGGCTGAACGTCCAAGTTTCTCTCAAACCTCCGCACTCGCACGAGAAATGACCCCGGAAATCTTGCAAACGAAGGAATCTGAGCGCCGGCCGTCCGATCAAAGTAGCCTGAAGATGAGTTCTTGGACGAATTTCTTTAAACGTGGGGGACAGCGCAAAGGGAGTGGTGTTGATCGTGGGAGGAGCACACCATCAGAGTTCTCCAATACATCACGGGAATCATTTGTCCGAAAGCAGCAGCCTCCGCCGGTAGTTGTACCTCGAACGTTTCGACGATCCGACCCTTCTAGTATACCGCAGAGAACCATGTCGAAATTTCGGGAAGATCTTCCGGAACTGCCCATCTCGCCTCCAGATTCGCGCGTCCAATCTCCTGAAGCTACGGTCGCTCCTCATGTGGGAGCTGAACCCTCCTCCGGGCAACAACCGAGGCAATCCTTGTCTGGCACATTCGATGGTCGAAGCATAGCCACAAGCTCAAGCAATCCGGCCTTGGACCGTAATGCTCCAGACAGTCGTCTAGGGCAGGCTATGGACATTGATGTCAGTAGTGGAGCACTATCTGGAATGGTACTATCGCAGTCGCTAGCATCTGTGGATTCCGAGGGCTCGTGGCTATCTGGAAAACCAGTGAAGCGATTGTCTGGCAATATGAGCCAAAACGTTCGTCAGAGCCAATCGTCTCTCCCCCCACAATCGATACCTGGCGCGTTTGAAATGGACGAGGATGACCTGGCAGACGATGAGTATCTCAATCGGCTGACGCCTGGACCTAGTGGTCGAAGAGATTCCATGATCTCGTCGGGTCGTAAAGCCAGTAGTACCATCATTGATCTGGAACGGGAGCGGCAACATAGCCCGGTACCGGATGTTCCCCCTGTTCCGATGAGCTCCCCTGGAGACGAAGCATGGCATGAGGGTGTCGGACGACAAGCCACAGTTGTGCATCAGCCAAACCGTGCCAAGTCTACCGAAGGATTGCTAAAGCAAGTGGGAAGCGAGACACCGAGAATGTCGAGAAAAGTTAGCACGGACGACGAAGATGATGATGAAGTGCGAATGTATCCGGAAGGGGAACGTCCTGAAATCCAGGAGTCGCCCATCCTAAGAGCACGAAGTGTTGAATACAAGAAACACGGCCGACATGCGAGCGCAGGGTCGGCCCGGTTGTTAGATATACGACGATCATCTGTGCAGTTAGATACTGCACCTCGAAGCCCAAGTCTGCCCGAAATCCCTCTCCCAGGGCGGGGAGGAGCAGCAGAATCCACGAAACAAATATGAGGGCATATGGTACACAAGCTTGCGGATGAGTTTGATTACTGTTTCCTTTGTCACTCGCAGTGTGATGTACGGCCACTAATGGATTCGGTCGCACCTAAAATGATACCCATGATGCACAAGATACCCAGCAATGACACTCTTTTTCAGCAGAAGCTGCTTTTTGATATGTTGGCCACTTGGACGGACTTGTTGGCAAAGGGTGTACAGGTAAACAAGAATCTACAAGGAGGGAGATAGCACGGCACCGGTTAGATGGGGATATGCAAATACAATTGAGCTGAGGAGATGAAGGTGAGGGTGCCTGTCCTGGCTGATTTGGCATCTAGGGATGGAGCTGGGCAAAACATGTACTACAAAGGACAGCAAGGGAAGCTATGGCTTATTGTTGGGTTAAAATTGTTGTGGACTAGCAGTGACACTGTTCAGTACTGTCACTGCTTAGAATTGTTCCAAAGCCGAATTATGCGAGGCATAGAGTTAAAGTACGGAGTACGCAGCAGCAGGATGTCACAGGCGCTTTGTCACTTGGCACTCATCTCGTCCCGCCAGTGCCAATTCGATCAAGTGGGTTAAGGCTAGACCACGACAGCACGACTAATCAAATCTCGCATTATTATTCTTCCGGCTCCGGGCATTTTGCCCTGCATTCGTGCCTCAGGGTGGCGCCTCTTGCTTCCTGATTCCAAATCCCGCAAGAGTCCCTTTGATGGCGTCATCTCGATTCGCTCCGGGCAACTGCCCTTCTGCCCTCTTCCACCAGCCAAACTGCGAGCCCAGCCTGTGACTACTGCCCCTCGGCACCCATTTCTTGCGTTCCCTTAATTCAAATCAATTCCATCATTCCCCCTCGCCCATCCCAGCATTTCTAAGCCGTGTCATAGTCCCCCTTGTTATTATCTCTTCACATAATACATCACTCTCTCCGCGCCTCGTCCCATCTCCAATCTTCTATTTCTATTACCGCTGCTGACTAGACTATTCTATTCCCTCACCTTCCTTGCACGAAATCAAGATAAATACCTTCGTCGTGGCTGCCCCAGTCTCTTTCCACTCCATCAAACTTCAGCGCCTGCTTAACAACTACCACAACAACACCTCGATAATACCAACCCCACTTCGATCAACGCGTCTTTTTTCAACCACCCGATCTACCAACTTCACACACACATCCAACAAAATGGTTGTCCACAATCTGGCAGAGTACGTAGCCTACCATCAAGCCAAGCTTCGCAAGGAACAAGCTGCCGCTGCTGCCCCTGCTGCCAAGAAATACGGTGTTAATGAATTATACAGCAAATCCTCCTTCAACACCTCCCTCGCGTCCGAGAGACTCATCGTCCTTGACTGCTTCGCCACCTGGTGCGGCCCCTGCAAAGTCATCGCCCCCGAGGTCGCCAAGTTCAGCGAGTCTGAAGCATACAAGGAGAGGGTCGAGTTCTACAAGGTCGACGTCGACAAGGTTCCAGACCTTGCCCAGGAACTCAATGTGAGAGCCATGCCTACCTTCATGCTCTTCAAGGGCGGTGAGAAGGTCGGCGAGGTCGTCGGTGCCGATCCCCGCGCTCTCAAGAACGCCATCGACAAGAACCTGTAAATCAATAGTCGGAATCCCTCTATTGCAGGGATTCGTTTCCTTCGGGATTGAGGAAAGGAAATCCTAAAGCCACAAGATTATCAAATGGCATAGACGGGTTCTTGAAGGAACATCAGAGGATGGAACGGAATATCCACCAATACATACTATCCTCGGGAGTGGATTCCATACTTCATCATTGCCCTAATGCCAGTGTCGCATGGCGGCATCCTAAAGCATCAGGGCAGCAGCGGACGGTTTGACGTCCTGTCAGAAGTCATGTCAAATAACAACCCCAAAAATATCACATCCTCTACTACACTCGCGCGTCTCTCAAAGTTCTCGCTTTTTTAAATTAGAAAAACAAACTTCCTCCTGATTCCTCGGTGAACCAGCTATATCCTGTGGGGTTCATGTAGAGATGTGAGCTGCCTTCCGACCCATGCAAGGCCCCTTTCTGGGCTGAGAGAAACGCAGCGAGCAAAGCTTTTTGATGGGTGAGCTCAGGGCATATCATGAAATCGTTGGATCTGTCGGAAAACCCAGGACGAGACAGACCATTCCAGAACCCGGACACTGCATTGTCCCCGGGCACCAATTTCCAAGCGAGGATTCCAGCACCCAGTCAAGCATTTGTACTACAGCAATTAATTACATGTACGTACGAGGACCTGTCTAAGATTGAGTCCGCCAGCAGGGACGGTCCCCGAGAACCTTGCCTGACTTGGCTTAGCTCAGCCTGAAGGCGACCTGGAGGGAATAAGTAATTACTCGTAAAGAAACTATCTAGCAGTAGGCTGGTAAGTAGTAAGTAGTAAGTAGTAGCTGTGGGCATGCGTGTGAGGCATATTATGTCGAAAACCCGCGAACGACCGGGGAGAATAAACCACATGTTTGTCAATTGTAGCTAGTATGCAGTACCTCCCACATCGATAGCCACTGGCTAGTAGCACAAAGGGGCAAGAAAAGGCCGAGGCATTTATGTCTGTAATAAGACATCATATAATACGATGATTACACCGGGCAAACCCCCAACTCTGGATCAGAACCACGACCCAGGCTCGTGAAATGGGATTTACGCGGTGGCTGCCTGCCCAGCTCCATTGCCTCTGCTTTTTTCCTTTCATTCGGAAATTTCTACATTCCATTCATTGACTGCCTTAAGTCAGGATATCAGGACTAAAGAAGTAAGCACCCAGGTAACTAAGTAGTTACCTAGAGGTAGACCACAGTCAGCCATCCAGGGCTCCGGCGAGACACTACATCCAACTTCATTCCGTCGGGCAAACTCGCCAACTAGTTACAGCACGAAACCGATGCTAGGGTATTTTCCAAACAAGACAAATGAAAAGCAAAACAACGCTGGGATAGATACTCCGTTCCGTTTCGTAAGCTGTGTCCGTTCGATCGATTTATGTCTAAGCATGTTCTATGCTGTGTGCACAAGGTCCGCGTAAGGCTGATTTTTGGAGATAGTCATGGTGATCCATACTGTGCTTTGCGGCTCTTTGTGGGGTAAGTTGATCGCTTAAACAATATTGTGTGATATATAGTACACTTTGAAGAAGTAGTGGTCGTTGGGCGGGACGCCATTCTGCCGTCGGATGTTCATACCTCAGAGCTGCATCTCTTACAACGAAGGACCTGCCGCTTGTCCACTATGGCAGCTTTAAACGTCCGGCTGCCACAGTTTGGGCATTTCAGATCGCTGTCGCTGCCGGCGCTGCTTCTCCGACGTCCTCTCGTTGATGATTTCTGTCTCTTTGCTGCTACATTTGCTTCATCGTCTCCGGCACCACCGTGAACGCTAGCATTCGCCGAATTAGGATCTCGTTCCGAGCCCGTCATTTCACTCGATAATTGGGAGACGTAGCTGGCAGCTCGCGAGAGGGGATTGGCCCCAGGGCCCAAAAGGCCCGGCGTTCGGAGGGGCCGGTTGACCATAGGTACGATGGTGTTATTGAAGTCCCATGCCATCAATGAATGGTTGCCCAGCAGTAAAAGAGGGTCGTCGTGAGGAAGATCTGCGGAGGTTGGCTGGTGCAATGGTGATGGCAGGGATACAGTTGGCGGGTGAGCATTTTCAGGAGATTTGGTTTGTGATACCGAATGGAAACTTCCCGGGGATTCTCCAAGTGGTGACTGGATCGAGATTGAAGGACCAATTTGGGCCTGTTGAAGCGGCGAGTGATATTCAGGCGACGTCGGAGAGAGCAAGCTATCTCTGTGTGGTGGTGAATTTCGGCGTATGGATAAGCGTTTGGAGAGCAATTTCCTCGGTGAAGCACTCCGAGACCGTTCATTGTTCAGACTTCCACGGATCTCTAACATACTCCCAGATGCCGTTGTGGCGGTGCTCCCCGTGCCTTGCACAGAATTCCGCCAATTCAAAATGCGATCGGTGGACTGGTTCTTCGATCCCATCACAAATGAGTTCCGATGCGATGAAGAGGTGGCAGAGTTCCTTGTGGCAACAGATCCGGTTCTTGCCAACATCTTTTTGGAAAAGGTGGAACTGGCATCCCAAGATTCATGCCTTCGCTTTTGAAAGGCGCAATCCTGCCGAAAGATTTTAATCTGCCCCGTGTAATCAGCAGTTACAATAAGCTGCCCCCCTGGATGCGCATGCCTGGCTAGGTATGCAGGTGTTTCTGGAGCACGTTTGGGAGATTCCGAAGTGCGGATTCTTATATCGGCTTGCTTGTCCTCTGAGTGGTTGCTATTGTTTGTTGGCGCTGGGGAAGAAATAACGGAATCAGCGCGGCTGACCAAGGTCACTGGCGGTGGATTGCACAAGTCGTACAAAGGGTCACCAGATTGTGCTAATAGTCGCCTTGTCTTCTCAGGGGCAAGTATCGCCGTTGTCGCAATAGCTGAATGGGCCTCGAATACTTCCATCGGCCGCTTGTCATTCTCAGGCCGCTCGTGCACTGAGGTTGGCCATATGTACACTTTTCGATCCTCGCTGCCGCAAATCACATACTTTCCATCATCGCTGAAGGAAGCGTGTATCTGGCTGCAGGAGTTCTCATTTCCGCGAAACTTGACCTCCAAGGTCCTATCCTTCAGATTATACATGCGTATACGAGAGTCGTTACTGGTGATCAGGATTTTGACATCCGGTTGGGCGTTCTCGCGCGGCAATGCGATGGTATCGATGCCTGTGATTTTGCTACCCTTCGCATTCCTCCCTCGGGCTGATCGCACATGAATTTGTGAGTGGGCTTTCAGACCCTCGGTGTCATACAAGATGCACAGACCACCTAAGCAACCAGCGATCGCTGTCTTGCCATCTGGTGTAAATGCAACAGCGGTTACCATATCGGGAACTTGTGCCCAGTATGCGACGGTCTTGTCCGGTATACTCCAAAGCCTCAGTTTGGAGTCGAGCGACCCGGCCAAGAAGAACCGATCATCGCGCGGATGAAACTGTATCGATGTCACAAAATCGACGTGTTTGAACGCACAGAGACATTCAGCACGGGAAACGTGGTGTAGTCTGACGGTCTTGTCCATGGAAGAAGACAAGAGGAAGTTGTTCTTACTCCAACTGAGGTCCAGTATACTCGCGGTATGACCATCATACTCCCTGAAGAGCTTCGTCTTGAACACAGGCGCGTTGAGCTTTACACTCTCACCCGCATTGTTAGTTTCAAACAACCTCTCTTCAACGTCACGGTCTTCCGTAGTTGCCAGAACCTCCCAGACTCTCAGCTTCTTGTCCTGCCCAGCAGCGGCCAGATACCTTCCATCTTTTGAGAATTCCATGGCCCATATCGCATTGTTGGCCGAGCTTGGTGGCGGGATTGGAGTGGCGGAGGGCACATCAGTGATGCTGTGGATCTTGGAGTCGATCGATGCTTTCCGGCTCTTGGACCGTCGTAGGTCTAGGGCGATCTGAGCGAGGAACAAGCGGTCGAAGTCTTTCTGCTTCCTGTATTGGGCTTTGACCTTGATATAACGCGGGGGAGCAGGGAATTTCGGTATGAAGCCGACTGGCTGAGAAAAGACTTCAGCCTCGACGCCTCCGGACCGGTTTTCGGATGAGAACTCCGATTCATTGTCATGGAGCTCGAAGGAGTCTCTCTTCTTGGAGCCCATGATGCGGCTCAAGAAGGAGACACCCTTCCTGATGTGAGATACATATCAGCCTCGAGGACTTGGCCATGTACCTTGGCCTGGAAGATCAGGCCAAGGGGATAAAAGGAACAACGGTGGTTCAGTCAACGGATATGCATATGGGGGCGCACAAAGGGGAATGTCTGGCCGTTGCTGGGCGAGTGAGAGATTTTTGGAATCAGGTTGTGCAAACTCACTTTTTGGTATCCTTGCTCAGCTTGCTACTAGCACTGCTGTCGACCCTTCGAAGAAGTCCCGGGTCGGAGCAATTCCTCCCCGAGACGTCCTCGGATGGCCCGGATTCCGCATTTGTCGACTTTGAGGACACACCGCCTTGGGAAGATGGCGGCAGCCTGCTCTGCGACTGAGTGCGCTCTAAGATTTGCTAGGGTGATTGGGAGTGAGCGGGCGAGATCGCGACTTGTTTTGACAAGTGGGTAAAGCGAATGCGAACATACCCTGGATATGGGGTCCAAAGCGCCTTGCTGGGAGTCCACCAGCTGCAGCTCGTTAGAGCCTAGCGGAGGACTCATACTGGCAGCTTGGGGTGATTTCAGACGGGTCCTTTGCAATGGGTCATGATTTTGATTGAGCGTGTGAGAAATGGCCGTATTTGAAGTTGGAAAGCCTGAATCTCATGGCCGTGGTACAGTCAGCACGTGGGCAGTTAGTGGCAGAAGAAGCAGTGACGAAGGCGACCAGGTGGCGGAGGGTAGGCGTAACCAAGATACGGGCCTTGCGGCCAATGGGAAAGCAGAATCAGCGTCAGTAAGCAAAGCGTGACCGCTGAGTGATGCTTTGAGCACGGAGTTGCAATGGGTGTTCGCAATAATGTGGGATGCGGAGGGGACGGATTGCACTTACGGCTGTTTTGAGAAGCATCGTCGTCGTCGTCGTCAGTACCACCACCGTTATTGGTATTGATGACTTTGATGTTTTGGGTGGTGGTGCCAGAGGTGGTAGCGTTCGTATTGGTGGTAACATGGGCACTGGGACTGATGACGGCAATGGTGGGAATGACAGCCGAAGGAGGGGTCGAGGGCGAGCGCCCCGTCGCGGTATGGAGCCCTGGACGCCCACCCGGCTGGTGGGTGTTGAAGTGAGAGTTGGAGGGGGTCTTTCTGAGGTATGGGTACGGATACTGCCACGGGTCAGCAATCAGCATGTTCAAGACACCTTGTGGTAACTCCAAGCCTAGAGCTAGTGGTGGCACAATAGGGGTTGTAGGGGGTTCCGTGGGTGGCCGTGGGCAGCAGTGGGCGGTAGTTGTTAGGCCTTGGGTGGTGGTCCGTGGAATGAGACCTGGCGGTTCCAAGAGCCTCGGCCGCCACCTCTTCACATCAAGGGCACATTGAATCTCAACTAAACTCGAGTGCTGGGTTCTTACACTCGTGGAGTTCCTGGTCCGAGGCGGCGCAACCTCCATCGCCCCCATCCGCTGGCCAATTCAGGCCTCTGTTTGCGAAGCAAACCTCAAGAAACAATCTAACCTGAGGCAAGACTAGGACCTCGCGACATTCAAAGGACACGGCAGGATGCGTGCAAATGCCATCGTCAGAGGAGGGAAAGTGGGTTAAAGAGCTCGCAAATCTTCAATCAAGTAATTAGTCTTCGTATCGATACATATGACATTGGCATCCGATCCCAGGATAATCCGCATGCACAACCTGGATTGCCAGACCTGATCCCATGGGCCATGAGCTATGGAAGCGAAAGACCGCGTCAGGCCTACTGTCCTAAGCTGGGCCCCGCCGATGCAATGGAACTCCTCTTCAGCCGCTGCTCCTTGATCCTTCCATCAACGTGGCTCCATGGCGCTGGCGTGGATGCACAACGCTCCATCATGTCACATAATAATGATCGGCTGTTCATTAAGCAGTGGTATCCTCGTGCTCATATCAGGTGCTAGCCCGAAGCCTAGACCCACGATACATGGGAACTAACCATCATGTCGCCATGAAAACCTCATCTGAGCACACAAATTTGTAGCTTGGCCGTTGCTTGTAACATCTTGCCTTGCCCGAGCGCCTTGGTAGATCTACTCGTACTCTACTCCGGAGGTAGTGGTAGTGTAAGCCTGTCTGCCTGGCCTGGCAGTCTGAAGCACCACTGCATCAGTCCAATCTGATTATTTCCGCCTTCATTTCGCATCTTTAACCGCCTTTAGTCATTTCAAAATCATGTCAAGTTGCTCAATCTCCTGGTAGTTAGTCTGCCTGACCCATCCTATTCCACCATCTTCTCAGGAGCTCGCATATAGTACTACAATCATGCACAAAGTTATGGCTTCTTTATCCCAGGAAAACCGGCCCCACTCAAGCAACAAAGCCGAATACGAAGCGATTCGCCCCAGCGGCTCTGAGGAGTGAAGTGCTTCCACCACCGCCTTGTTCTTTGGCTCTCACCGACCAAAATACCTCGGGGCACACCTGTACTTTCCGTCTCCTCATGCCAAAGCCCCAAACGGACATCTCTCATTTGACTTAGATGATCCGCCTCCTCCCGGGCTTTCAGCCTTCAAGTTTCTTGATTGGCAATTCGGCCTAGATATCCTAAAAGGAATGCTTTGTTTTCTGCCGCCGTTTGTCGTTTTTCATTCGCTGGTCGTCCAACAGCGGGTCCACTGCTCGTTGATGTCAAACTTCCCACTCGGGATGTCCTCGTAGAGATGGCTTCAATTCCAGACAACGGTACCTCTGTATTCGGGCTAAGGACTTGACTTGACGATAATGGCGATACTGTTCCAAAACGCCCCCGTCCTATCGGCGCCTTGGGTGTGCTTTCCGCTCTGCCGAACAAAGACAGTAATGTCTGCTTATGGGCGTCGGAACGAGGGGTGTCTTGAGACGGTGTGAGAATGCCTGGCATCTCTTGGTTCGTATTCTGCACCAAAGCGACAGGTCTCATATCAGTGCTTGGCTGATTGGTTGGCTGATTGGTTTCATCTGCCGGATCTGAAGTCTCGATTGTCTGTGGGCGTCGAAGAATTTGCGGCTGGAAAGCCTTCACGGGTGCTTTTGGTGTCGACCTTTCCAAAGTTGTCCTCTTGGTCGTTGGTTTTGGCCCTCGTGGCGAGCGAGGCAAGCCCTGCCGCTGCTCTTCTGGCTTTGTCAAGATCTTGATCGGAGTAGGCTGCTTTGGATCAAACAAAGTACGATTTGAGGTCAATGGACTCCGTCCCAAGTCATTACTAACGTGCTTCGTCGTACGAGACACAGCTTCGAATTCCGGCTGATTAAGAGGCCCGCTGATGGTCGCCGATGTCTCCCCTTCTCGAGGCATTGGCCGATTCGAAGCTTTGGGTTTTTGCTCTTGGTTTCCTTGCCTAAGCAAGATTAGGAGAGGGTCGTTTTGCGTAGGTTGCGGGCTCCGTTGTACGCCAGACGCCCCAGTTGCTGCCAGTTCGGCTGGCATACCTTGTTCTCGAGCAAGTGCCTGCAATGCAGCAGCCCCAGCGGCCGATGTTTGGGATGGCTGACTGAACAAATTGAGCAAGGATGCTCGTTGAACATTGTCGGGTCTGTGGACCACGGTAGCCGGGCTTGCCTGACTTTGGGACTTTTCGATCGGTGATAAGTGGAAATTTGCAAGCGGAGCTGGAGTTGTGGGGCGGTTGTGCCTCTGGTCCCCTCCAGTTGAAAACTGTGAGCTCCGTTGCGTCGGTCCACCACTCTGTTGTCCATATTCAGTTCGAGGCATGATGGAGGCCGGGGAGCCAAGCAGGCCTTGTGAAAGTGAGTGCGATGTATTGGATAAAGGCGGTTCTGCTGGTTTGGTGGCGCCCTTGAAGACATCCAGTAATGCCTTTGTATGATTCGTCAATTTTGGCAAGGCACTAGCAGGAGGTACCATTGTAGTTCGTGCTTGATTCAAGGACGGCCGAGCAAATTGGGGATCTCCAGTCTGTTGATACGGGGCCGGAGCTTGGGGAGCTTGAGCGTAGCCCTGGTCGCGTATACCTGCATCTTGCACCGCTGGATAGCGGTCGCTTGTTTGTGAGGTCTGAAATACTGGTGGCGGTTTTTCTTGGTCTACAAGAGTATGGCGGGTATGGGACGCATGCGGAGACCTTTGCACCTCTGGCTGGGAGAGGACTTGTTCAAATGGAGGTTTAGGTTCTCCATGCATCGAGGCCACTGTCGAACCGCGGAGCAGTGCCAAAAGAGCATTTGACTTTTCAGTATCGACTTTCTGCATGTGACTAGGTTGTGGTGCAGTCTCCAGTAGAGCAGTTGATGGCTGGCCAATGCTGAGGAATTTCCTCAGGTGCGATGATGGATCTAGAGCGACAGGGGCAGAAACTTCAGGCAGATCACTGATGACAGGAGTACCACTCTCTGTCAGTCTTGCCCCAGCGCCGTTGGTGTCCTGATCGTCCTCGGTGGTGACCTCCTCTAACACCATGGGCGGGGCCGATAGATGTGAGCTGTATCGATTCTCCTTCTTTCGCTGTTGAGCAATCCATTTCTTGAGAGGGTTCAAGAAGGGTGCCACCATGTAGAACTTGTTGGCATTTACAGCTGGCTGATCCGTTCCACTCCCCTCATGTTGCCGACTCTTCTTGAGGGTGGGCAGGTCGGTGAGCTTGTACCACTCAATCTTGCTGATTTCCTTTCGGGTTTTTGGTTCAAAGTACGTGTCCTTGGGGACGCCACGGAAGACGTATAGCCTCATGTGCTGCTCGCGCATGGTCACCTCAATATATTTCATGTCCTTCTCATCTTTCACTAAGCCGGCAGCGCGGATATCAAAGCCTGTCTCTTCGTAAACTTCTCGCACCGCACAATCAAGGTCGTTCTCGTCCTTGTTGATCTTTCCCCTGGGAAAACTCCAATTGGCGCTCTTCTTCCAGCCTTTGACGAGGACAACTTCATCCATGTTCTCGTTCAGCATGATGGCGCCGCGAACCGGCACTCGGGACTTGTAGGCTAGAAATTCTGCGAAAGCAGTTGTATGATGTTGGGCAGACCATTGTGAGAACAGTGGACAATGTTGGAAGATCCTTAAGCTAAAGTTACGGAGGGATAAGGAAGGCAAGGTGGGATCGAGGGGACGGATGAAGTCTTCGTAGAACCATTGTGCCTCCTCAACCTGGAAGCAAATTCTTTCTACAGATGCGAGCTCTTCCGGGGGAAGATTGATGATGAAACGGACGCACAGGTCATCGAGCCCTAGAGGTCGTAGGAGGTCAGCGCGACAACAATCACAATCTCAGGCACATGCATCTCACAGTCCTCCAGCTGCATCTCTAAGGCTAATGGCAGGGCTGGGATGTCTTAGCATCTCCAGGACCATCTGTCTTCTCGGGTGTTGTGATACGCAGAAGAGGGAAGAGGATTGTAGATGAGCTCGCAAAGGCCTCGAAAAATGCACTGCCTCACGCTTGGATGTTCGCGATCGAGAGTGAGAGCGAGAGGGTCGTTTTGTGGGGAAGGATGTTTGGCCAGACGACCAAAAGAGACAAGTCAGGGCTTAGGACGGCCATCGACGGGCTGGGAAGATACACAGGATCACGCTCAAGCTCGCAGCGCTGTGCCAGGCCCAGACCAGGAGTTGTTCGGCTGCACCGTGGCGCCAGGGCACGACAAGCTGTAATGGGCGTGGGGCGTGTGGCGTATGGCGTGAGTGGCCGGTGGTGGCTAATGCTGACTGTGGCGGTGCAGGGCGATCAGCGCTGCAGGGCTTGGGCTGAGACTTTCAATTTCGAGGCGCACGAGGTCTGAGTCTGACGAGGAAGCGCTCGGTTAGCTCCAAGCCGTCATGTAGGATGACGCAGGCGCGCGCTCTCGTTCCAGGTTGTCAAACAAGATTTGCCTGGCAATCAGTTCGATCAAGCCTCTGACTCCAATGGATGGTGTTCAAGCCAAGCAGCCTCCGACGAACGCTACTTGTTGCTTTGTTTGCCCAAGTTTAAAATATGTGAGTGGTTAGGCGGTGACATCAAAGCCGGAATCCAAGCCCTTTGTCCTTGCTCAGCCCATTTCCGCTCCCAACTATATCTACACACCTATCTCTCTGTACCCTGACTACCTTTCTTTTCGCCATCCCTGAGACTTGTCGAACGCTTCTACCATCAACAATCACAATCATGGCGTCATTTGCGGCAAAACTTGTGGCGAAGAAGCTCTTCCAGGAGACTTCGGCCAACAAGCAGGGCAAAGAGGTGTGACTATATCTGTATTATCCTTGGTCCGACTGCTAACAGAGCCTTACAGGATCCTTTCTTTGAGACCATCCCCGCAACACGGTTGGGAGGCATGTACAAGACGACCAAGAAGAGGCGCAGAGCGCTTCCTCCAGGCCTGACTCCTGAGGAGGAAAAGATTCTCACAAAGGCAAAGAGACGAGCATATCGGGTCGACTTGTCCCTTGGCAGCTTTTTCGGAACACGATTTGGTTGGGGCGCAGTCATTGGCTTGATTCCTGCGTAAGAAGAAATCCAAACGACCAGTTTGCGTTCGTCACCCGTAACTAACTTTTGAATAGCATAGGTGACTTCGTCGATTTGCTGCTAGCCTTCATGGTCTATCGCACCTGCTGCTCTGTCAAGCCTGAGTTGTCCACCAGTGTCAAAATGAAAATGAAGTTTAACATGGCTATCGACTTTGCCATAGGCCTGATACCATTCGTTGGAGACATCGCTGATGCGGCGTACAAGTGCAATACCAAGAACGTCGTCATTTTGGAGGAGGAACTGCGCGAGCGTGGCAGAAAACGCCTGAAGGGTACACCGCAAGCCAATGTCGCAGATCCAAGTCTTCCAGATGAATTTGATTATCAGAACGAGGAACGCCTCGTTCAGCAGAACGGCCCGCCTCCAAAGTACGCTTCACAGCGCGAGTCTAGAAGATCGCGCCGCGATCGAGACCGGCGAGACAATGGAGACTATGATGCCGAAGCTGCTGGGGCAGTTGCACCACCCATGCCAGCAAGAACTCGCTGAGCGTCAAGTCTCATCCTCTCTCATGTCAGGCGTCTTAAGTCATAAATGAATTGCAGCGTGCTATTCGACTGTGTACCAGATCAGGTAGACACGATGGAATGTTCTTAGCTCATTCTTCTTTGCACGATTCGTTTTCCCAGTGTAGTTAACCACTTTCCGATTATCCTGCTGCTTGGTGCAGTGATCGTGAATTATGTCTGTTAAGTTTTAATATCCTGTTTCATCCGCTCACAACTACTACAGAGTATTGAAGTATTTTGGGACTGTCCACCGCCACTCACAATAGGTTGAACGCAGACTCGACAGAGGTTCGGGCTATGTCGGACTTCGAGCTTGCCCGCCGTTCGCACCACATTTGCCATAATGCTGGGGTATTTTAAACCCTGCGTGTTGATGTAGTCTGTCAACAAGCTATCGATAGCGGTGTCGCGAAGGCTTGAAGGGGGTTGTGAAGGGGGTCGATTATTTAGTTCTCTGGCCGCTCCAATTTCCACAAGAGGTTCTGGAAGTTTAGATGCGTAGGTCTCAAGTTCAGTGTTGAAAAGATCACGAAGCGGATGGTTGAAGTTCACACCGAAGGGCGACGGACCATCAGCAATCGTTGAGGGGACCGACCCACCTCTGCCCTTTGCAACATCTGCCAGAACCAGGGCAGCCAGGCGACTGTCCGAATGACCCCAGACAATGCTCTCGCAACCATGCGCTGTCGCTATCGCAACGATCAAGCGCCGGAGTGAGATGGAGCGTAGGTCAGCTCGTGTTGTGACTGAGGTAGCACTTGCCATGATTCGATCGAAAAAGTCGACATTTGATTCTTGATTCTGACGTTCTAGACCAAGGATCTTGAGGTCTTGTTCAAGAGTTTCATCAAGACTCAGAGAAGCAGAGAATGCAAATTCAGGGAGGAATTTATGGCTTGGGAATCTCTGGGCTAAGTGGGAGAACGGTTTGTTATTGAACGTAGATGTAGGTTCATCCGGAAGCACGACGTGAGCAATGACTAATTCATATGCGGTCATGTTCCTCTTTGCGATCTGTCGTTGCAGCTGAGAATCGAGAATCTGAAGCAAGACAAGAGAGGAGATCCCACCGGAAAGAGGTAGTAGCAGGCGACATCTTTGATCTCCACCAAGGATTTTGAATCGATACGACTCCATGCGCTTCAGGACTTTAGAGTTGACATATCGACTAAAACACTCGGTGCACAATCGTCTGTTTCTGATGTTGAGCTCAGCATCACGCTCGCGACACTCGACGCAGACAGCCTGTTGCATCGGCGCCGTCATCAAACTGTATTTCGGTGAAAGTTGTCTGCTATGCTCTCAAATTGATACAATGTTGGAGTAGAGATACGTAGTCGGCAAGGCAATGGCGTATGATGGAAAATCGAAATATTCAGATCAGAATTTCCTCAACGAACTAATTAGCGGGTCACAAGTTCACAGCTCGTACGGCGCATCGCTTAGCAGCTTAAGCGAAGTTGGGTGGATATCACCAAGAATATGCGTAAATTGTATGTAACAGCTGCGCGGAGCTTACGTGGACACATAGCCTCACCCCTTCCGTACCGTTTTTACAACCACAATCAGACTTGGATTGTTGCTCCTGCACTCTTCCCATGATATTTGAGAGCTTGGTTAATAGAATAAAAATAATTCTACGATCTTCTATTTGCCCCTGGGGCGGAGAACTGTGCAATCTTGATCGGGCTCAAGATCGGATTTCCCCATTCCTGACGCTGATGAAAATGATTTACCTTTATGTATCCGTCGGAGTCTGGAGGACATGAAACGGCTCCGAGTAATGCAGCACCACAAGACGGCCTTGAAGTATCGCGCTCTAGCACAGTTGAGCCTAGCGTGTAAGGCATGCCGACTGGCTTGATCCAACGAGAAGAGAGTCATCACATGGACTCCAAAATGTAAGTACCATTGCTGATTGAACCAACGGTAAATCACCAGTTTGGCTTTCGCAGCGATCGTGATAGGCAGTTTGAGTTATGGGGAAGAGCGACCTCTGACCTTGCGGCACACTCTGGAGCTCGCTCTACTGGACTTGATGGTCGCTGGCATAGGCAAAAGCTGCAAAGCTGATCGCTTGGAGAACAACAGCCTCCAAACTCGAGGAAACGCTGGTCTGATATTTCGAGTACCAGCGCATGGTTTGGATCTGATCACGACAGGAAAAAGGACATTGATTGTCTTAAAGAACTGATTAACCAGCACTGATTGGAGATCTACACGCAATCGCTTTCGTTGTTCGCTAGAGCCACATTTCGGAACCCCAGGTCCGTCTCAAGGTTGCTGAATCCCTTCTGAGAGGGAAGCATTCGCACGAAATTGCCACCCATGCATTCAACGAAGAAGGGAGAAACTTCCAAACCTGCCCCATGCGAGCTGTAACGAACTATACACTCTGGTTGACAATCCACAGATGCTGTGCAGACAGCTGGTGCTATAAAGGAGGTCGTAGCGCCGCAATCATTTCTAGTTGACTAGAAACTATGGCACTCTGCCTGGCTACGCTCTCGATTGGTTCCATCTGATCTACTTCCTCTCCTCTCCTGATATGCGAACGCAAGGGATCCTGGATCGTTTATTTCAGATTAGGCACAAATTCGTATTTGGGGATGCCTCAGTTCTTCATCACGGCAAAGTCAGAGACTTCGGGCAAAACATGCGCAATGCGATGCTCAGCTCGTATCAAACTTCAGTACCAGACTACAAAGGCTATATCATCATTGAGACTCAATCTCATCCACTTACTGACAAGTGGTCGTGACTATTGCCCTAGACGCAATTTCCGTCCTGTGGAACTGGAACGGAGCCGTGGTTCGGGCAGGTGGCGTTCAGCCACCAGGATTCAATGATTTCATTGTCTATTCGTCTGACATAGTGCGTTCATCCTGATGATAGGCACTTAATGTCGTCCATTGACAATGCCTTCATACCTCAGACAAGCCCGACAGGAAAGCCGAAATGTATTGTGCACAGGGCCACGCTAAGTTAAGAGTGTACCAGTGAACGCACTGACCATTAACTCACACATATCGTCGTCCTAGGGTCTCTTTCTTCAAGTTAAGAAAGATACCATTCTTGGCTGAGACGTCAAGTCCAGCGACCTTATCGTGCAATGTCCCAGTCTGTCGACTTTGGATCTACTTGTGGAACCAGACTGATCAAAGCACAAGACGGGATGGATCGTGTGGGCTTGCGTGCGCCGGCCGCGTCGTGGGGTACGCTGGCTTGCCACTCAAGCCGGACTTCTCTGACCTTGTTTCGGTTGATCGAACATTTAAAGTGTCATGATCGCTAAGTCCTTGAGGCATCCTTCCTGACATTTCTGTACAGGCACTGCAGGGTGTCGATGTTCGGCATTTCAGCACGATTGTTCTCCAATCTCAGAGCCGTGGACAAGAGAGTACTAAAACTAGACTGAGATCCAAAGATATTGGACCCTAAGCTGACACAACTGCTTACCAGAGGAGCACGTGAACCTGTCTTCCCTCGCAATGTTTCCTCCACAGGAAGCCTCTGGACGGAAGAGACCGCTGCCTATTCTACGACCAATGATTTCCGCCTGCTGTGCATCTAGTATCCACAAGTCGCGGGAAGGATCTCACATGCTCTTATGAATTCACTTTACTACCTACTACGAGTGAGACGTGCCTGTTAGCACAACTGGTGCCTAACACCGAGAAGGAGTTATCTCCCTATTGAGGCAATTCAGTAATAAGTAAATAAGTAAGAAATGTCACTAATAATATAGAAAAGTTAGCCTAAATTAATACTTGCTAAAAGCGCAATAAAAATATAGACATAAGCGACTAGAAAAAGAGTAGAGATAATTCTAAGATGGGGCTGGACTATAGTCTCAGGGGGCATGGCGGCGATACCAATGATAAAATAACAATGAACAATATCACAGGGGTTGCAGCCACTCGGAAGCCTCTTAGGACGTTTCTCTGGTGGATAAAGAAACTCAGCCTTAGCTGGATCAGAAATGGGCCTCTCTAATGCCACACATGTTCCACCTCAGGGGATGCGCATCCCCACAAATTAGGTTGCATACGAGTACAGGTTCGGGCAGAGGCCTGTTTCTAGCATGTCGAGAATGTTGCTTATCTTTAGGCCGTCTACACATGAGCCTGGCTCGATGTTGGCCACAACCGATCTCCGCTGCCAGTCTGTTGCCGGAGAAAGGCGCGCGGAAAGCACAAGAACCATTGAGTGCTTGCTGTCAGATAATGGTATCTCCGCCTTGTGTGTCAGATTTAGGACGTGCTCAACAACTTTGCGCGTTCCGCTTGGATGGCGCAAATATAAAGGCGTCAGACGCGACCCAAGGTTTGGCCCACTGTGAGGCAAGCATCTCTTGGTTTGCCAGCAGACTCTCAGACTCGCGGGCCACACAACACGTTCACAAGTTGAGACCTGATTTGAATTAGAAATTTAGAATGGCTCTTATCCCTCTGACAGATCCAGAAATAAGCTTCTAGGGGCGTTATTATGTCAAACCTGGCAGTGTCTCCGCGGCCATTCGAAGCAGCATATTCATTTCCGCTAAGCGCGCCAAGACCATGCCAAGAGCTTGGCATCATTTCTATTGTTTCAGGAACAGGCTTCGCCAAGGTCTCACAAACACTTCCCAGACTGTGCACGAAGTATTGTCCGTGGCCATTCTCCATCATGTTCGCACGACGGGGCTGTTGAGAGATGCTGGTAATGGCGCTCGAGCCAAGCACCTTCGAGGCAATGCAGCAGCTCGGACTCAATTGAAAGGCTTAGTGTGCTTCAGTCATCGTCTTTGCAGCTACCAACCGTAGCCAAGCACAGTAGCCGCTGCATGTCAATAACAAGCGGAGCCTGATCGTCAGGGTTAAATGCTTCCATCGAAGTCTCCGACAGACACCAAGTCACTCTCTGTGGGACGTGTTTCGGCGTACTCCAGCCAAGGGATATTTCTCTGACTTCTTTACTCCGTACAACGATAGTGTCCTTATATCGAGCAAAATGTCACCTCATTGTCCTAGTTTGCTTATCCTCCCTTTTACACCCTATCTGCTGGAGATTCAATCGAATCCGGGCCCTTTCGTCGCCCAGCATTTCCTTTTTCCTGTCTTGCCGTCCGCTGGCCGGACTACCACCATAGTGACTCACCATCAAGGCTGCACCTCACGCCCACCTTGTTTACCCGTACTGTCAATCAACCCTTAAACAAGTGACAGCAGGTGCCATCTGGTACTTCTGAAGTGTCAGAGCCATCTATCGGGCGAAGGATATATCGGAAGACGCCGTCACAAAAAGAATCCCAGAGATAAATCAGAGACCTCCTATCAAAATGGCAATAGAGCTCGACGTTAGCGAGCTCAACATCGTCATCTCCATCTTTGGATTCTTCATAATTGCTTACGGGGCTATCTCGATTAAGATCAAGCAGAGATGGTACTTGGGTGAAGCTTGTAAGGTCCCTGTTTGACGGTTATGTTTACATTGAGAAGAATCACAGCTAATGGTTTTATCGATGCATAGTGCCTGCCATGGTGCTCGGCATTTTTCTCGGTCCAGTGATTGCGAAGTGGCTAGACTCACGCCGTTGGGGTATGGCCATTATCGGGCAGGTTCCAGCGATTACACTGGGGATGACTCGCATAGTCATTGGTGTGCAATTGGTGATTGCAGGCTTTCAACTACCTGCAAGATATTTAATCTATCGTTGGAAGGAGATGCTTATCTGCTTGCTACCCGTTATGACTATCATGTGGCTTTGTACCACGGGATGCATGATGCTGGTGGTGCCGAAAGTCAGTCTACTCGCGGCGCTGGTCATCGGCTCCTGTGTCACATGCACCGACCCCATCCTCTCCCAAGCCGTGGCCAAGGGACCGTTCTCTGACAAATACGTGCGTCGAAACCTACGAGAACTGATCTCGGCTGAGGCCGGTGCTAATGATGGCTTCGGCTTCCCCTTCCTCATGCTCGCTGTCTACTTGATTCGCCATGCTGAGTCACCCGAGCTGAGCCAAGAGATCGAAACTTCCCTACTCCAGACAGAAGCATCGGCTGGAGAGGCCCACAAGCTTTTCAAAAGGTTTGGAGATCTCGTCGCTCGAGCCTTAGAGGAGCACGACACTATTGGCCGACTTGGTGGAGGCGTGGGAAAAGCGCTCGCGAATTGGGGTGTTGAAACCTGGCTGTACGTGGTGTTTATGTCAATCGCCTACGGTGCGGTAGTTGGCTTCGGTATGATGCTCGTGGCCAAGTTTTCGTTGCGCAAGTAAGCCATGTACACCTCCATTGTTATTTTTATTCGAATGCTGACAAATATTTCTAGACGTTGGATAGACAGTGAGTCGTACCTGTTGCTTCCTACCGGTATCGGACTCTTCATCATTGGCACTTGTGGTGCGTTGGGCACGGACGACCTCCTGGCATGTTTCATTGCCGGTAACGCCTTGAACTGGGATGGCAAATATCTTCAGGAAACCTTGGCAAAGCACGACGAGGTGAACAGTGTGATAGATGTTCTCCTCAACTTTGGGGGCTTTATGTTTATTGGCACCATCATTCCTTGGCGCGAATTCAATGATCCGGACGGAACTGGTCTGACTATACCCCGACTCTTTGCTCTTGGAATCTTGGTGGTCATCTTCCGGCGGATTCCTGCAATCTTCATGACCTACAAGCTCATGCCCAAGTGTGTCACGAATTGGAAGGAAGCGTTGTTCATGGGGTATTTTGGACCGATTGGTATTGGGGCCGTGTTCTACGTCGAGCACACCCGTCATCTGTTCCCTGAACCGGGGGAAGCATTGACAGAGGAAGAGAACAACCTTACCAGAGTCATGGTCCCCGTTGTGTATTGGCTGGTGTTGTTCTCGATCTTCTGGCATGGTCTCTCGATTCCAGCGCTGAACCTGTTCTACAAGTGGAAGGGAGTTCAGCCGGTACAGGATGACGAAGGCCCCGTCGAGGTCCGCCTGCTAAGCGAGAATGAACAACCTCCTAAGAACAGTACCGTTGACCCAGCTCGTCGCAGTGTTTTGATCAACAACCGTTTCAGTCGTTCCTACAATACTGCTGAGCTCAATTTGAAAGCTGTGGAGGACTATCAACGCCGCACGCAAAAATGGGAAGAAAATTGGTACACGGGAAACGACGGTGCAGAAGAGAAGCTTGCTGGCGGCCAGAGATGGTCGACCAAGCAGTTACCAGGCAGAGCTATATATCTTCCTCACCCACGACAATCTCGGTCCAGCAGTGGTGCCAAGGACCCTGATGGATCACTTAAAGTCGATCCAACCGCGCCTTCGAGAGCTATCAAGTGGGTATAGGCTAGAAGAGCTACAAAGAAATACCTAACATTTCATTTTGATTACAGAGGGAAAGGACAGCGATGTATAGATGCTACTGGATGTTGGAACGGTGGCTAACTGCTAACTGTCAATCCCCAGGCCGACTCTCATTATTTCCACAACTCATTAGTCGCCGAGTGGAGTTTGCACTGCTTTTAGAAACACTATCCTTAAAAGACAATAGAGAAGAAGGCAATAGAGACTACAATGTATAAAAAGATCGCTGGCGAAAAATAATATGGAAGCCAGGAGAGATATCATACACCATTGTAAGCGGATAGTAAGTCAGTCACCCACTACTAGCGCTTGAAGGCATGACTTGGTACATTATCAGAACATGGTAAGACGGTGTTAAGGACTGTCCAACCAGTGTAGACCGGACGAGCTTTGAGGGAAATTAAACAGGCAGCCGTGATTGTAGGAGCCCATGAGGGCCTCACTAAGAGAAGTATGTTCAGCACTGCATACGAGTACTATCCACACCAAGGTGGGCGAGAACAGGGCGGCATCAGCCTCGTCCCGAAGGAGGGTGTGTCGCGAAACAGCTTTTACTCCGCCTTGGCGGTGCCAGGGACTCTCGGTGCTCGGATAATGCCTGCTGCTTCCATATTCGATTTACTAAGGTGGACTTGTGGGCGACTGTCCGCATTTGGCTACGACTGCCATCGTTGCCAATGTATGTACGAGTCCACCTAGACAGTCTCTTTGCGCAATTACTGTAAACAAATAGTTTATCCCTGCTGCTTGGCTGACAGCAATGGAAGGTCTCTTTGCGCACCGCTCAAGGTTTGATATTTATACGTGCAGCCAAACTACCACGCGGATTAAGTGACGTTACACTCGAAACGTCAGATCAGCCACGTGCGGGAGTCTCCAATGACGTACCACCCCGCCCCCTTCGGCCCTCCAAGTATGTACCAGCAACGATGGCCTTGATCAAGGGCAAAGTTCCAGGTCAGACGCCTTGGATGCTGGGTGGCCCGTTCAAATAAAGATGTGAGATGCGACGGTCCGAAGCCTAAGCATCTCTCCCTCCAAACCGCTAGAGTGGATTCCATTTTCGCCTTCATAGTACTTCCACGAGCTTATCGCCTAATATTACCCTACAAGACTCATCTATTCCTGCATAACTTGTAAGGTTGCAGCGCTTATCGCGCAGAATCTCACACTTCACCCCTACATACCCTTTCGCGAGCGCAATGGCTGCTGCTGCTGAAAGTCGATCGGGCGAAGAGCCTCCTTCCGGACTTCAGGGACAGGGCACAGTTTCTGACCCTTACGATCGAGGCAATGCTCCAGGTATTGCGACCTCGCCCCTTCCTATCACTCGATTCAGGCTGACCACAATGATGGGTAGAGAACGTCTCTGCGTCAGAGGAGCCACCAGCAGGTGTGCAAGGGAAAGGCACAGTCAACGAGCCCTTCGACCAGGGTAATGCGCCAGGTAATTGACCTCGACCTGTTATGACACCTCCCAGCCCAAGGCTAACACCCGAGTGGTAGAAAACCCATCATCCTCTGCGCCAAATGCGGACACATCGCCGAAGCCAGCCGGCATCACTATAGAGCCGCCCTCCGAGTCGAAGACCTCTATTGTCAACGGCGAGAAACAAAAATCGACTGAGGAGCGGGGACGAGATGCGTTGAGAGCCCCTGCTAAGAATCGGATCGAGGAGCGCGACGTCAGTCCTGGCACTTTGCCAGACGGCAGTCACGCAAAAACGAGCGGTGAAAGAGGAGAAGGCTACGAGCCTGGAAGGTTGAATAAGTTGAAGAGCAAGTTTCCGTTTGGCAAGCACTAGATTGGCCATGAACAGCAAGGCGCAGGCTTGAATACTCGTGCCTGGGGAGGTGACAGTCTTTTGTCAGAGGACAGCAATGTACATTTGGTTCGGAAACGCCCAAGCACCGATCAATGTTTTGGATTACATTTTCATACATGGATTACCCCACTCCCAGTCTCAGTTATGTATTCTAGAGGCACTTGCGAAAAGTCCGAGCGTACGAAGTAGAAATGTCCCACATGCTGCAAGGTCATCTTTTGTCCAAGTGTTTGGTATTTGGCACTATCAAAGGCACAGCAATCTTTTTCTTTACTGATTGAATCTTTTTCCGACTCTCAAACAGACATTTCCCGAATCACAACAGCGGTCATGCCCCTCATCGGAGTACTACCGCAACGTGGAATCCCGAGTATCAGTGTATCACTGATACGGATGTGCCTAATTCCCGTAACTGCCCTGCTAATTCCCCTAAGAACTAGTACATCTTGGCAATAGCTTAGCAAGCACCCTTCTATTCACGGAGTAGACTTTATTAGCGACGTACTACTAGTAATTTAGTATTCTAGTAGAGTAAGTTCCTGTAGGCTTTACTATAAGAAGTTCTAGCGTAGTAAATCAACTCTTAAGGCTACTAAATCTACGACAGTACTACTAGTATTAAAGTGCCTTATAGTACGTTCAAAAAGCATTTATACCTAGTCTAGTATTTAGTACTATTTCTAAGTTAGTAGTCCTTTCAAAAAGTAAGGTCACGGCGTCTCGAAATGTAAGAGTATAAGCAACTTAACGAAAACACTAAGATAATCGATCAATTACTATATAGTCCTTAGAACATCGACTATAAGAACTTAAGGAGTCTAAAAACCTCGCATGCGATCCGCATAGCCCCTGAGGTCTTATATACCGTGCCCCTTAGTGTTTCAGGACTAGTCTTGGCATGGGATGGGTGCTTCTAGGGTCCACCGTAGTCCTATTCCGTGACACGAAATTTCTTAGTAATGGACGCTAGCTTCTAGTGGTGGTAGTGGTGGTGATAGTAGTAGTAGTAGTAGTAGTAGTAGTAGTAGTAGTAGTAGTAGTAGTAGTAGTAGGACTACTAAATCTTATTTCGTACTATATTAGTAGACTTAAGGTACTTGCTAAGTTAGTGCTAATAGGTGCCAAGAATTAAGGGAATTAGTACTAGGGTGGTTACGGTAATTACGCGCACCTCAGGCTCGGATTCCGTCATTATTAATTAGTTCACCTCAGAGAGCCGACTATCATATTTGTCGGACAATAGTGATTAGCTCCGATTGAAAGCACCTTTCTTGAGAGGTCATACATTTAGAGAGAACCTGGAGGTATTTATTCGCTTGGAAATTTGCAGATCGTCGAGGAAGCGGTACTGCATATCCTTGACTCGTACATTGCAGCAAAATGTCACAAAGCGACCTCTCCAAGATCGAGGCTGGCAACCTCTTCAATGTCAATGGCCTTGTGGCGGTGATTACAGGCGGTGGATCGGGTAAGAACGCAAGTTTTCTATTTTGCTTGACTTACTAACGGTTGTGATCAAAAACAGGGCTCGGGAGAATGATGGCACGCGCACTGGCGGCCAATGGAGCGTCCAAGGTGTTCATCATTGGGCGGCGTGAAGACGCTCTAAAGGAGACAGCAGCTTCAGTGCCCAGCAGCAGTATCATCCCTGTTGTTGGTGATGTCACATCCAAAGACTCTCTACAGAAGACCGTCGAAGCCGTCAAAGTACATACCGATGCGATTGATGTCCTCGTGGCCAATTCTGGCATATCAGGGCCACCTGTTGCAACCCTTGATGCCAATCAACGACCAGTCCCCATAGAGGAGCTGGTGAAGAACATGTGGGCCCCAGAAGCAGAGGCCATCACATCCACCTACGCTGTCAATATTACTGGCGTCCATTTCACAGTTGCTGCATTTCTCCCTTTGTTGAATGAGGCCAACAAGAAGAGACCCGAGAAACCAACCGCGGAGAACTTCAGACCACGCCCACAGATCATTACTACAGGTTCGATCGGAGGTTTCAGCCGCAAGCCTTTGGGTAACCTCAGCTACGGCGCAAGCAAAGCGGGACTTACCCATCTGACTAAACAATTGGCGACATCACTCACGGCATATGATATCAGGGCTAATGTGATTGCACCCGGATTGTACTTCTCGGAGATGACTCAGGGTATGTATGCGGCACAGGGGAAGACTGAGATCCACAACATTGAAGGCGCATTCACGAAGGAGATGATTCCCGCCACACGAAGTGGTGATGAAGAAGATATGGCGGGGGTCATACTGTGGCTGACTTCACGAGCAGGAGCCTACATTAACGGCTGTGTCGTGGTCACTGATGGAGGACGGCTTAGTATCGTTCCCGCTTCCTACTAGGAGATCTTCGAGACCATTTCTGTACGGAGTACTCCTTAAGTTCTTGCGCAGCTTAGAGATAGACCCTTAAGAATGTTGAAAATGAGATCTCGAATAGAAGTTTGACGATGAACCACATTCCGAGTCGTTCAAACGACCAATTGAAGTGCAAAAAGCATGAGTCTTGGCCAGTAGGGTTTGCGTGACAGACTAGACGTGTCATTTATGGGTACGAGCTTAAATTGATAGGTCCTTCTTAATGAATTTAGTTACACAATAAATTAGGGTACCATGGCATTCTAAAGCAGTTTGCTAGTTAATTCTACCTGTTTAATAACTCCGCTCTAAGTACCCTAGTGGGTAGCGTAGTACTAAGCTTCTAGACGTGAGAAGTGTCATGACGTTCGTCAAAGTTCGTCAAAATATCCCTTGCCAGTTATTTACTGCCATTTGTCGGTCATTTGACTACAGTGACGGACACACTGAAATCCCCTACTCCTGGGTTGTTCATGTGAGTCCAGCCAGCCTTGCAACAAGGCTGGGAGCCTGGGGCTGACAGTGGCGTGACTCTGACCATGCAGCTCCGAGTAAGATTAGCATTCATAATGTGGCACGGACTGAGCTCGTCCGCCGCGTCTTGACGAGCGGTCCTGATGGCAATGCTGTGGGCTTTGAGAGAAGAGGCTGATTGAGGGTCGAGAAGCCCATCCGCTTGTGGACGGCAACTCCTTTGACCCCTGCACATTGTCATGCAGGAACCGACTGACCGAATGGTGCCACTGACAGACGGCCACGAGACAGGGTTGCAATTGGTTGAACCCCGAAGGTTCGCTGGCTTGTGCCCAGGACTCTAAAGTGTTTAGCTCCATGTCGTCCCACAGCGAAGTCGGCCGGTCCCTGGGAGGAAGTCCCTGTTCAACAGATTTGTGAGGACAAGATACAATTTTCGTGGGATGGCCGCCATTATCGTCGTCACTGATACAAGGTTGGGATTTTGGGCAATGCTTCTCTATCCGTACCGAGCATGAAATCATTGTCTTCTCCCCCCCAGAGAAGGAGTTGCATTTGCCACCAAGCTTCGTAGGTCGAGTTTTGTTTGCTTGCGACTCCACATACCAAGTGCACTTAGTAGATCGCCGCTCCCTCAAAACATCCTTCTTTTGAATCCTGGAACCACCCCGCCTCACCGCCTTCCACTCCATTGATAAGTTCCCTTGGTTCCTGTTCACTCTCTCCCCCCAGTACCAGGAATCAACATCTCTCTTCTGCACTTTCCACAATCATGGCCACTCGACCCCAGAATATTGGCATCAAGGCCATCGAAATCTACTTCCCAAGCCAGGTACATACTCCATGCGCCTGCTCACGATCAACCATGTACTGACAGACCTTCAGTGTGTTGACCAAGCCGACCTCGAGAAATTTGATGGCGTTGCACAAGGCAAATACACAATTGGTCTGGGACAGACTCGAATGTCCTTCTGCGATGATCGAGAAGGTAAGTTCAGGCGGCCTTTTCGCTATCCAGACATGTACCTGACGGCGTCTCCTTTCAACAGATATCTATTCGATCGCCCTCACAACCCTGACCAGCCTGGTATCGAAATACTCGATTGACCTGAAACATATCGGAAGACTGGAGGTTGGCACTGAGACCATGCTGGACAAGAGCAAGAGTGTGAAATCCGTTTTGATGCAACTCTTCGAGAAGTCTGGCAACTTCAACGTTGAGGGCGTTGATGCTTACAACGCATGCTAGTGAGTATTTCCATGCATAGATCGCATTGAGGTGGATGGCGTTCTAACAAGAGTTTTAGTGGTGGTACAAATGCCGTGTTCAATTCGATCAATTGGATCGAATCCTCTGCCTGGGACGGACGCGACGCCATCGTTGTGGCAGGTGACATTGCTCTCTACAAGAAGGGTAATGCTCGCCCAACTGGTGGTGCTGGCTGCGTTGCAATGGTAATTGGGCCTGATGCTCCAATTGCGTTCGACGCAGGCCTTCGAGGATCCTACATTACCCATGCCTATGATTTCTACAAACCAGATCTTACCAGTGAATACCCTTATGTGGATGGGCAATTCTCCCTGAGATGTTACACAGAGGCCGTCGATGCGTGTTACAAGGCGTATAACTCCCGCGAGCAAACCCTGAAAGCACGAGCAAATGGCGCGGCGACTAATGGTCACTCGAATGGAAATGGAATCCATGACGAGACGGAGAAGTCACCCCTTGACAGATTTGACTACATGGCGTTCCACGCTCCCACCTGCAAGCTGGTGTCCAAGTCATACGCTCGATTGCTGTACAATGACTTCTTGGAAGATCCAACCCATCCTCAGTTCAAGGAAGTGGCCCCTGAACTCCGCGATCTGGAGTATCAGGCATCACTGACAGACAAGACTGTGGAAAAGACTTTCATGGCCTTGACGAAGAAGCGCTTTGCTGAGCGAGTGCAGCCTGCCATCCAGGTTGCGACCATGTGTGGAAACATGTATTGCGGCAGTGTCTACGGCGGTCTCGTCGGTTTGATCAGCAATATTGCCCCGAAACAAATTTACGGCAAGCGCCTGGGGATCTTCAGCTACGGAAGTGGCTTAGCCAGCTCAATGTTTAGTTTGAAAGTGGTTGGTGATACCACTGAAATGGTGAAGAAGCTCAACCTGCAAGAGAGACTGGATGCTCGCCGAGTGGTTGCACCCGAGGTCTACGACCAGATGTGCCTGCTTCGAGAGAAGGCGCATCTCAAGAAAGACTTCCAGCCGGCCGGTGACATCGAGACTCTGGTCAGTGGTACTTACTATCTGACCAACGTCGATGACATGTACCGAAGGAAGTATGAAGTGAAAGCATGATCGCTGACCAAGTAACGGGCATGGAGGGGTTGTATCATTGCTGCACCAGATGCTACGTTTCACATTCCAGGCGTTTCTTATGGTTGGTCGCAGTGCTAGCCAAGTCTTGATAGAAGGACAGTCGCATTTGCAGAAGGGATTCAAAGGATTGTTGAGCACAGGTGGGGCAACACAGCGCCGTAAGAGCTTGTACATATTATAGAGAGAAGCTAGTCGGTGCTCACTTCGAGGTACGGGGTCCTAGTGGTGTATTAATTAGTCTGCAGAAGTAAGCAGTCTACATAGATCAAAGGCACCTCATTCGTCCAGAGTCGGAGGCAATGGTCCATATTCTGGAATCCATGATGATCGAGAGCCAATGCATTGGAGGTTCCCCAGCCCAGAGCTGTAACAACCTTGCGCAGGTATAGATCGATTGAGAAACTCTAGAAGGGTATGACGATGTAAAATGCGCCTAATGCAACACCCGAAGCCGTCGGGCAGCAGTTGACCAGTAAGGAGCCGGTTTCGCATTGGAAAGCAGCAAGATGAAACGTGGATCCAAGTGGAAGACTGTAATGGCCAGTAGGCCAAGGACGGCGACATAAGTTGCAAAGCAAAATGATGATCTAGGTCTGCATGAGGGAAAAGTGCGTACAAGCGAGGAGGTTGGGAGGGATAGCCGTGGTGTTTATCGTGAGGAAAGCGTGGAAGTCTCGTGTCTTTTGTATGTAGGTACGTGTGTTGATAACACATCGTTTATGCAGCTAAATCATGCGTCCATGACTCACGCGTGAGCCCGCATCATGTTCGTGTTTCCCTCGTGCTTGGCTTTGGCGTCGCTACTACCATTCCCTCTCGGGCCCCAAGACAGAGCCCCCAAGAACACAAGAACTGATGTCTGCAAGCGGTACATCCTCGCCCCAGAGATCCCCACCACGCCCGTCTTTTCTTGGTGGGCAAGTTCGGAACACAGCCACGGTAGGCGGCAATCCAAACACCCAATCAGCCGCCGAAGAGGGTCGATGAACTGAATGAAACAAATCCCAAATTGGGCCACCCAGCTGCAGCGGCTATGATGGAAGGAGCTGCTCATTGCTGATCTCTGCGCCGCGCCTCACGCATCCAGTAGGGACGCGCCGCAGCGCGCTCTTGCCATCTTTGCCAGCTCTTCCCTCACCCAGCTCCGCTCCTGCCAAAACAACCACTACCGCCCGTTGAGCCTCAAATCTCGAAATAAGTCAAGCAAGCGCCGACACAGATTGCCTCGTGAGACATGGTGAAATGATCCATCAGAGTGGTTACACCTGTTTTGGCCGCTTTGGAAATTATCGAAGATTCTGCAAACGGAATATTCCACACACCCTACCCAGAAATAGCTGCACGTTTGTTTCCAGTTGTGCTGGCGCGCGTCTTCCTCTCAGCCTCGAGTCTCTTGTTCTCTTGCTCCACGCGACGCTTCACGGAAGGGTAGAGCAACTCGGTCCTCGGTCCCTCAGCATCGGATTCTCGTCAGGCTCGTTTCCGACGTGTTTGTTTCCCAGCCCATTGTGTTTGTCGTGTTGCTCCACGTTTCATATTCGATATGACCTGCATAATCCTGTTGGCCGGGGCATGATGCTGCCCACCAGTTCGGTCGCATACCATATCGCATTTATACCTGGCTCCCTCCTCCTCGACATCTCTCAGCCTTTCATTCTCTCCAGTTGCAAACATTGATAGTCTCTCTGTCAACCACTGGCATTTCATATTTCCTTTATTCTCTACTTTCCTTTGTTTTTAGACTTGGTGTTCCAGTCGAGAAGCCGGCCTTCTCATTGACCACAAACAGTTGTTGATATTGCACACCCAAAAGTCCTTCCATGTGAGTAATGTCGGCCTCGCTGCCTGGCGTTTTTTGACACTTTATTTTCAGAATGTCGTTGGCTCCATACTATTATAGACCTTTGACCCCTCCGCAGGGTGGTGCTGCTGGTCGGCACTCTCATGCTCGGAATCTGTCAGCTTCGTCATACTGCACAATTGACACTTCACCCGAGTCAGTTATAACTGCTAATTCAACTCCAAACCGATCTCCGGTTCTTCGTCAACATGGCCCAACGTTGCTCCCGAAGATCAGGACTCAGGACTCCGCCACAGATGCTCGCCTTGCACACCTTCCAGCATCCCACAAACGGACGGGTTCCACAAACCATACCAAATACAATCGTCCTGTTGTGTATCGCAGCGCGACCGAACCTGCCGAATGCCTTCCCCTGATCTCTCCAGTGTCAAACGCCCCATATTCTCGCTCCAACTCCCTCATTCCCTCACCAACCTTTTCAAAGGCTCGGTTGCAGGTCCCAACCAAAAACCATTCTCGCTCGACTTCTGCCTCGAGCATCGATAGTAATGTCCTCAACCGCTTCGGCTACCCTACCTATCGACAGATGCCGGTCTATGTTGCTCAAAACCAGCATACCCCATCGCCTGATCTCTTTGCCACGACATACACGTCATACCAGGACATACCTCTGCTCGAGCCTCCCATGATTAACCTAGAGGGTACTTTCGATCTTCCCATCGACCTAGACTCAGTGTCTCGTCCATCATCCATGAGCCCACCCCCTATGATTGCGCCAGTCTCGACGACCAGCATGCTCAGTTATTTGACGCAGCCAACGCAACCGGTCAACTTAGTTCGACACTTGACTTTCCAGACTGGCCGTGGATTGACAAACCACTTTTGGTGGGATGTCCGGAATGTGCGCTCGTGGAAAAGTTTCTCTTTGGCCACCATGTCCACCATCCCCGATCTTCTGACCTTGCTCAATTTCCAACACGATACTGCATGTCTGCCACTAATCAACATGAACACTTCCACTGTGACACCCAGTTCCGAAGTCGACCTTGCTAATTTAATCTCCAAGATCTATTTCCCCAAGGTCAATACTGCCACCAGGCTCTCACTTGGAAACAATGCCATCTCATTGTATCCTGCGCCCACACCCACTGGGTCTGGCGTTAGCTCAAACGCGGCTAACATTCCCACCTTTTTGGCCAACTACCCCAGTGACAACGATCGGACACTGTCAGGCTTGCCACGGGGCCGCGTCGTAGGACTGGCCCGGTCCTTCGATCGCTGGAACACAGGCATGTACCGTGAAGGACCCGCTCGGAAAGTTGAATACTTGCGCACTCTTGCTCATTTGCAGAAATGCATGCGTGACCACAGCTGTCGCTATGGATTCATCATCACCGAGATTGAACTTGTCTGTGTCCGTGCTGGTTGTGACGACCGTGGCAACCCGTACTTCGGATACCTGGAAGTTGCGGAAGCCGTCGAAACAAAGACTTTTACCAGGAGAGACGGACTGGCCATGGGGCGGGTCGAAGGCGAAGTCAGCATGACTGTAACATTGGCCCTCTACTACCTTCTTATGCTGGCGAAGTCCACCCCTCTGCCAGGTCAACCGGCAAGCTTCATGGATGTAGGCGGAGCAGGTGCCCTGTCGAGGTCTAGAGTTTGGGACGGTGCAAGCGGCACTGGCTTGAATCCCATCAACATCGATGAAGATAGTGATGTGGAAGAGTTGGGAAAGGATGGAAAGGACAGATGGATCCCAGAGCCGCAAATGGGTGAGAAAAGAGAGGCAAGAACTGTCCGAGGTTGGGTCTGGCCCAGTGACCCATGGCACAAGAGAGAAGGAGAGCGAGGAGAGCGAGGAAGTGGCGGAAGAGGTGGCAGAAGGTGATGACCTTAATGCACGGCTCAACTCAATGAGGAGATATGAAGAAGAAACGCATTATGAATCTAGGGGGTTGCATTTTGGTACGAAGCCATCCAGGTGATGTGCTCGTCAGCATTCAAAGATTCGTGCAGGACTAACGAATAAACTGCCAATCTGGTAATTAATAAGAACTTAAGACATATAGCTATAAAGGGAAATAAATTTTGATTGTAGAAAAGGTTTCAATCAATCCTCGTGGTGGTCTTTCGTCTTCAATCCCCAACCCCTGTACCATCCCTGTAGATAGGGGAGAGAAGTCAGCAATTCTACTCCGAGCAATTGGGAGTGATGGAAATGTCAAACGGAAACTCGTTGGGTTTTTGCTTCCTCAGACTGTTGAGACTTGACATAATTTTTGTACTCAGCGACGGAGGAGTTTGACAGCTCCATTTCCGCCTCGTCAGTTATCGTTTGAGCATATTGGTAAACATCATCGAAAGCTTCGTGGTGAAAATGTGTGGGTGTGGTTGGATTTTTGGGATGAGATGGGATGGCATGGAATGAACGGCCGATGCAAGGTGTGGACTTACCTGATGACCTAGCGATACGTCGTGTGCGGTCTTCCGGCGAGCATTCAGGACATGATAGTAGAGAAAAGGATTAATGAAGAGCCGTTGCAAAACAATGAGTGCTATGAGATCCGGGTGGATTTGGAGCTTTTCAAACGAAATTCAGTTTCACAAGACCAGAGACTTGGCATTTGGTATCACGTGCTATCACGTGATTAGGGCGCCCTCAAGCCCATTGGATGGAGTCACCGAGAGGAGCCTGCGAATTAGTAGTCACGGGGAATTAGATTCATAATTACTAGCAGAGGTCGTTTTAGGCAGTCGTCGCGGGATGATGGCAATGTGTCACCCCGCCAAACAACAGATCCAAACACACTTGTGCCCAACTCTGTGAAACACTACTTGCAATCTTTCCTGCATACCCAAGCTTGGAGTCGCAGGCCACCGTATTATTCTCAAGCCACTGTTGCTTCTGTTCAATAGTCAGTCATCATGGCAGGTATGTGTGTGCGGGATCACTGTGCTTCATATCCCCTCAATCCTCCAAATGTCAAATCGCGCCGCAGCTAACAAATTTGTGTGCGTGGTTTGTGGCGGTAGACTTTCAGACAATTGCTCGTACGTCAACCCCTCTTGCCTATAATCATCGGCCTGTCCCATGGCTGTGCGCCCAAAGACTTCGATCCAATCTAACGTAGCTCAGAACAATTTGTTGATTTCTACTACAAGACCTTCGATGGCGACCGCACCCAGCTCGCTGCTCTTTACGTATGTCTGCACTCCAAACTTCAGGCGCAGAATCGAGGAGGCTATGGCCTTGGACTGATCAAGTGATCAATAGAGAGAGGGGTCCATGCTCACGTTTGAGAAAGAGCCATTCCAAGGCACAGGGACCATTGTGGAGAAGTTGAGCGTGAGTTCTATCCGAGAAAGCAGGCACGGGCGAAAGAGAACAGAATTTTCTAACGGGTCAATGAACAGAACTTGCCGTTCCAGAAAGTCCAACATCGCGTTGATACGGTCGATTCTCAGCCTTCGAACGAACAGGGAGCTATCTTGGTCCTGGTCACAGGTGCTCTGATGGTAGGTGAAGAGTGAGAGAGTGACTGTGAAACAAAGAGGAAATCATGCACTGAGTGGTGGTGATCCGACGACAAGCGCTGACTGAGGAATGATGCAAAACAGGTTGATGACCAGCCACAACCAATGAGCTATGTCCAGACGTTCAATCTGGTAAACGCAGACGGCAGCTACTACGTCCAGAACGACGTCTTCAGATGTATGCAGAGAATCTCCTTCACCGAATCTTCAGGGTCGACGGCTAACGTTTGGTATAAAGTGGTCTATCCAGCTCAGTAGCGAGCTCAGTATCGGGAACTATATCGACATACAGAAAGTTCGAGTTCCATCTTCTGGCCTGCCCTGCTCCAAGTGATTATGCTACAGGTGATGGTGGCTTGCATTGCACAAGGCGCGCACGCTATTTTGGTGTTAGCCAGGAATCGGTGAGGTTGCGTTGAAGATAGAACAGGACCCAAGAGGGACACAGAGAGGAATGTCGATGGACTAAGAAAATCACTTGCGCAAAGACTCCTCGTTGCACTTGCCAATTTGCCCCGGCTTGGGGCGATGAGTCGCTGCAATATTCACAAAACCATACGCCTTGGCTTAAGTTTCCCTGTGCCTCCCTTCACTCCGAACTTGAACTTGTCCAACTTTTTTGGGGGTGATTTCTGCATTGAGGGATTCATGATTCGGACCATTGCCCTTCTTCCTTTGCTTCTGTGCCCACAGTACCGACACTTATTGAACCAGCAGCTGTTCCTATTGCACTGTTCTGCTTCTCTTCTTCTCAGTTCACAAGACCTACACTGGATCGTTGACGATCAACGGGGTTCTTTGTCCAACAGACAGCTAGACAGAGATTCAGTCACTGCCTGGATGGAGCCACCGAACGAGGACACGGTGAGTCCGCCTCGCTAGACCCGCATTGACCTACCATCATCTCAGCTTGTTTCCACAGCCATCCAGCAAGGGCTTCAAGAGCGACTTCTGCGGCTTCAATGGTCTTCCCAGAGCCACAACCGTCTGTGTCATTGGTGCTGGGTACGTAGGTGAGTAGACTGCTGTCTCCAGTATGGCCAGAAGAAGTAACAATGTTCAAGGAACAACAACATCTGCAGTCCTGGCCTACAAAAATCCAAGTGCCTTCTTCGTCGTGGTTGACTCCAACAAAGGCCGCATTGATGCTTGGAACTCGGATCTTCCCCCCTTTTTCGAGCCTAGGTTAGCAGATCTCATTGCCTCCGTGAAGGTCCATGAAGATCATACGTGGTTCTGGGCTGAGCCTCACCACGCAATTAACCATATTGGTTACTGTAGGCTATACAATTCTGTGGAGAACTTTAATAGACCCGAAGTCACTACTCTGCGAAAAGAAGCTAGAAGGACAGCCAAAAAGAGATATCCCAACCTGGCTTTCTCAACTGAGATCGAAAAGGCTATCATGAATTCGGAGATGATCATCATCGCGGTCAATACACCGGCCAAGGTAACATTCTGCTTTTCTTTGGTTGTCTCGATGATTATGTTTTTACTCACAGATTCGTGTCGCCTCCAGGGCGGGAGATCTAGATGGGATCTCGGGATCTCCGACGCGGCTGTGAGGACTATAGGAGAGACGGCTACTTCTGACAAGATCATTGTCGTCAAAAGTACTGTCTCATGCGGTTCTCGAAAGCATGTACTAGATCTTGTCGGTCCACATCCTCTCCTCCAGCACAAGAACAAGCTACTAATGTCAACAGTCTGAGAAGTCAAAATTCCCATGGGTCTCGTTCGAAGTACAATCATGTCCTGAATTTCTGAGGCAAGGTACAGCCGTTGAAGATTTTTTATATCCAGCTAGAATTGTCATCGGTTCAGACGGAGTAAATCATTCTCTGGACGGGCTACAATTCTCCTGACAGGATTATACTCGTCCTGGGTGGCTCAAGACCGTCTCCTCATTATGTCAACATCTTCGGCAGAAATCGCCAAGATTGCAAGCAATGTGATGATAGCACAACGGATCAGCAGTGTGAATTCTCTTAGTCAGATTTGCGAAGAGACTGGCGCCAATATCACAGAAGTGACAACAGCGTGTGGGTTGGATCCAAGAAATGGGCCTCAATGCCTCGGTGCTGGACTGGGATTTGGAGGGAGCTGCCTTGAGAAAGACCTCTTGTGTTGATTGATTTGGCAGCTTCCCGAAATCTCAGCGAGGTAGCACTGTATTGGGAAAAGTCTTGAAGATAATCGATGATCAATGGCATCGCCTGTTTCACAGACTACTAGGCCTCTTTGACTATTCGGTGGTGGGAATTAAGGTAGCGTTCCTTGGATTCGCGTATAAGAGCGGGACTGCTGACGCCAAGGGGAGTCTTACTAGAAATCTGATTGTGGAGTTCTTGAGGAGTAAAGCGCAAGTGTTGATTTATGATCCATTGGTCTCAAGGAGCGATGTTTTGAAGGAACTGTTCCCATCCTGGCATGCCAGTGATGAACTGGAAATCAACAGACTCGAACCAAGATCTTTGCACCACCTTACGAGGCCTGCTACGAGGCCGAGTTGGTCGTGATCACGGTGGATGCTGCAACGATCAGCCGTCGAGATGGGATGAAATTTCCAGATGTCTCAGGCGCAAAAGAGCTGTGTTTGATGTTTGCGGTATTGTGGACAAGGTTGAATTAGCTAGGCACGGAATGGTTGTGCACACCTGGGAGAGCGATGGGATGTCAGCACTGGTTAAAAGTTGATGCTCTTTTGATGGAACAGAAGCACAGAGATATTCGCATATGCGCGAGGCGGCTTCTACTCTAGGATCACCTGATAACGATGGTTACCTTCCACGGCCTTCACCAGGCCGCAGTTTAGAGAACATTGACTTGAGAAAGTATTTCTCAAAATGGCTGTCTCGCAGAGATGGTCAATGGTGTCTCAGAGCAGTAGTGTATGTCTGGCCGCAAATCTGTCAAGCGAATACCTAGCTACGAAGGTACCGACTCTGTAGTCATACAGAACAAGAGCGCAACCATTGCAGCGACAGGCATCGTCAGCGGAAGGTTGAAACACGTGTCCCGGCAGGTGCGGTACCGGTATCGTCAGACCCCTGGCTGAGTCTCGGAAACTGACGCGTTTTCCGAGCCACAGTTGGGAACTTGAGTGGTACTGGTACTGGTAATGGTACGTGTACGGAGTATTTATTAGTAGTATTACGGGTACTGGGCGACAGCCGCTCCGACCAGCCGCAGCTGCCAATGGCCCAATCCTACTAAACTCAGGTGCCTGCCCGAACCATCGCTCCATTCCTCCGCCAAACTGTCATCGACGACAACTTATAATTGAACAACCTTCAAGCCCCTTTGTCTCGACTCTTGACACTTAAATCGCCCTCCATTCCAGCGCGCAACCATCCCAGCTCTTACTCCCAGCATCCATTCTACTGGCATCATCACCTCGCAGACTTCCAACCGCTCTTGTTCAACCTCGAACGTCCGGCCTAAAGCATTTCGCTCTCCGAAACCACGTGTCGACTCGTTGTTAAGGGCTCTAAGAAGAGGCACTCTCCGCCAAACGACACAAGATCATAATGTCAATCGCTGATGAGTTCCGGCAGCGCAATTTCAGTAAGTGACTCCGTCGATTCCACTGCTGGAGAACAGTAGAATTAATGCATCCGCAGGTATCTATGGCCAATGGTAAGCAGCATCACCTCTTCAGGATTTCACCCTTCTGTCTCTTGCATTCCACGTGAACGATAGTGTACGAAACACACTCGGTGTGGCTCGATGTCATCGAGCACAGGAGCCCGTTCTTCACAATACATCCACTTGGGTTTCTTGGAGAGCTGACCGGTTCAAACAGGCTCGGAGTTCTCAGCATTATCCTGGGATTCGCCCTAGGCATTGCCAATCTCTTCCACGCCAGTCTGCTCATCTTATTCAGTATCATTCTGCTGTAAGTATTACGACAACAGATGGAGCTGTCTTGCAAGCTGACACTGGGTGCTATAGTGTTTCTTCGCTGGTCCTTGTTTTTGTCGAGATCCCGCTCCTTCTTCGAATTTGCCCTACGTCGTCCAAGTTTGACGCGTTCATCCGTCGATTCACTACAAACTATATGAGAGCAGCAATATATGGGATCCTGTCGGTGGTCCAGTGGCTCAGCTTGATCATCGACCCGAGCAGCTTGATCGCTTCAGCTGTTGTCCTGGCAGCTGCAGGCGCATGCTATGCTCTAGCAGGGTTCAAGCAGCAAGACTTTGTGGGAAGCAAGACGCTGGGTGGACAGGGCGTGGCGCAGATGATTGTCTGAGGTGGCACCATTGGACTAACTCATCTTTGTTGTATTTCTACCGCATAACCACGATGTCCTCGAAACCCACGAACCAACTTTTACGAGCGCGGGACGGCTTCCAGCAAGGGAAGACAAGTTGTAGGAGTTTGAAAAAGTATATTGCGGCGTCTGAAGTTGAGGTGTATGATCAGGCGCCTTGTTATGAAACTTCAATACTTGAAAGGAGCAACAATCCATTGATAGGGGTTCCTGAGGGACGATTAAATCAGCATTGGATGCAGACTGGACCTACCGAGGCGTTGCTCCCACGGATGTAATGCGAGATGTTCTTATTAGACTGTGATGCCGCATTGTCTGCACGTTCAGGGAAGGCGAAGGCAATCCTAGAAGATTACACGACCACTGCAAAAATACGCGCTTACTCGCTGGTCAGAACAACGGCGACTAGGTATCACTGAACGATACTTTACCAATTCGAAAGTAGATTGTGACGTGTGACTTGCGAGCTGCAAATGTCAGATTAGCCAGACGTGCTGGCTCCGGTTGTGCAGGTTGCTGACGTCGCTCCACGTTCTGAGCGTGTGGTGTGCAAGGGTCGCGTTTTTGATTGCATCGTTGTTCCATCCACGTACGCGTACCGTGTACTATTTATTAGTAGCGCAAGCTTGTTGTCCAGCACCATTCTCCATATTGAGACTAGTAGTGAATACCTACCTACCCGCCTGGGTAGCCCAAGCACTGGAGGACTCTGGTAGAGATGACAGAGGGTTGATCGTTGCTAAATAGGTAATTACGCAGAACGAGTTGATCAGTACGGAATACACTTGGTATTCATCGACCGTATCCATGGATGATGGATTATCACTCCGTATTATTACTGCACCGATCTTTGATGTCAGTCTTTCGGGCCGCACGCGATAGCTGACTACTGAGCCTTACTCGAATACGGGCACCGGTCAGCACATTCACGGTCCCGTGCATGAGAAATCCTGTGCCAAGGCCCCTTCTGGAGCCCGATGGGTGGGCATGGGGGCAATTCTATAGGCAGCCTTTGAAACCCTGGCGGCAGACTGGCTTTGGGAGACTCGGCCAGCCCTGAAACAATCACGATCCAGCAGGAAAAGAGGCTAAGGCGCAGGTTGAGCCCGAGAGGACTCAACGACGCACGATGAGGACTGGTTTCAGGCGCTTCCAGGATTCCCAGGAGGCTGAGTCGCCACATCTTCGAATGGACCAACCCTTTTTAGTTCATGGTCGCCATCATCATCATCAAAGATTCACAGCCTCCGAGCCTTGTAAAGTTCTAAGCCCCTAAGCCCCTTCGGTGGCCCAGTCTCCGCCGAACACGGGCTGCTATTTGCGGCTGAAGGAAGTTCTTCACCTGGGAACTCTGGGAGCTCCCTCATACGGAGTACGGAGTACTCCAGGCAGAATACCTAATTGCCCAACGCCCCCTCCTGGGCAGAAACCTGAACCTGAACCTGAACCTGACCCTGACCCTGACCCTGGCCATCTGAACCAAGTTAATTACACTCGGCCTGATTCTTCTCGTGTGACCAACTACCTCCCTTACGTTAGTTCCACTACTCGGTACTACAGAATTTCAACAACTCATTAGAATCACGTCGCGACAACCCATGGATTAAGGCCACCTCGCCAGACGAACAATGTTGCTAGACGGCTCTTCATCGAATTATGGACAATAAGGAAACGCATGTTTTTCTCGACGTCCCAGTAACTGATGCAGAGCGGGCTCGCGCAAACCGCCAAAGCCAAAACCAACGCCAACACCAACCTCCATCCCCAGATGGCCTTTCACGCTCCACCACCATCATCAATAACTCCAGCGCCAGGGTGCTGTCAGAACCACGACAGATAGAACCGCACCTACAGCCACCATCGGTTGGACAATCGCCCTCACGATATCCATCCGTTCACGCTCAAGCTCAAGCAGTGCCAAGAAACCCAGGGCCTCCCCCAGCTGCTTCGCAAAGAATCCCCCATCATCAACAACAGTATGTACCAATTTCCCCTATTCATGAGGAAGACGAAGAAAGCTCTCTTCACGATAGAGAGTTATCAACCCGCCAAACCAACGACGACCAAGGCACTTTATTACCATCGCCAGGACCCGTGCCACCGTTGTGGACGCCACTCTGGTTAAAGAAGTGGTTCCTAGGTCTCTTTGCTTTCGTCTTTACATTGTTTCTTCTTGGCATGGTCCTGCTTTGGTACTATGATAAGAAAAACGATGGCTTCAAAGTCAAGGAGGGAACCAGCCATTACGCATGGGCATATGCGCCCACTATCGTCGTTGTCTTGGTCCTGGCCACCTGGCGCTTGGTCGATCACAGTGCCAAAATCAGCATGCCTTTCGATGCTCTCCAGGACGGGCCCGTCAAGGGCTCTCAAAGTCTTCTCCTAGACTACGCCTCGAAATTCCAACTTGTTTCTTTGCTAGAAGCCATCAAAAATTCTCACTTCGCTGTCATTGCCTCCATCAGCGGGTTTGTCTTATTAAAAGTTATCACGGTCTTCTCCACCGGCTTGCTGGTCCTCCTCCCCACGGCTGTCAAGCAAACCGACACATTCATTCAAGCGCGAGCTTTCAGCGCTGATTCATTTGATCCAACCATCCCACTCAACACCTCGACATTCTCCAGCATACCGGTCTACACGTATTATGGCAATGTGGTGCAAGGCATGCCGTTCGACAACGGCGTAACCGCCGATCTGGCTTACAGCATAATTACAGTTGAATCCGATTCACCTATCCCCGAAGATGCAACCATCGAAGGAGAAGTTGCGGCTTTCGTACCACTCCTGACATGCAAGAAATTGGACGTTACGGTGGACACTCCAACCACTGTGGACGACTCCAACGCTGCAGACGCCTTGGCAACCTCGCCAGATATTTCTCTGACCATCAAAGCAGGCGATGTTTGTGGGGCAGCGTCATCTCTTCAAGTTCCCGCCGATAACCCCTACACCGAGATCACTCCTAACCGCCGAGTGCTTGGTACTCTCCAGCAGATTTTCTGTGGATCTTCCAGCGGGACAGGTGCGGATGCAGGGGGCCCAGCGGGCATTTTGTTGACTGTGACAGACATCACTTATCAACAGACCCTTTTCGACAACGCGACGGAACTGGCTGGAGGCACCTTCACGATTGCATCCGACGTGTCGAGGACTCTTAACAAAATCACAAACATTTTTTGCTCTGCTTCATATAGCATTACCCAGGTCAAGCTCACCAACAACACTCGTCTGATAGACAGCAGTCAGGCTGTATCAATTCAACCAGTCGAAAACGCGAAGAATAGCACGCTACCGAGGCTGTCCGACTGGAATGTCACCAATATATACGCGCAATCATCTGTGTCTGCGGAGGCGTTATTCGGAGATGTCATCAACGATGACACCATCTCCGACTCCAGTGCAATGTTCTCTTTGATGGCGCTGACGCAGGGTACTGACAACATTGATACACTGCTAGATGCGGACAAATTGATGGCAGCTGCTGTGCAGACGTATAACGGCATTCTGTCCCAGTATGCTCATCAATTATTGCGGGATACAAACAGCAATGAGCTAGAGGACGGGACTGTGACGATGAACCAACCCAGGTTGCGAGTCAACGATGTGTCTGTTTGGACTATCGGTGCCGTGTGCGGAGTCCTCGCTCTTCTATCGATCGCCTTGGTATTTATCGCACCCAGGGGCGTTGTGCCGAGAGATCCAAGCTCGATAGCGACGATAGCCATGCTGCTGACGAGGAGTGTGGAATTGAACAGGCTATTAAGACGGCAACCCGTCCCGAGCCTCCAGAACCAGAAGGATGCCTTGTCCGGGTACGAGTTTGGCACAGCCATCGCAACCTCCGATGCTGGCCGAATCAGTTACAGGATTGTCACTTCGGAAGGAGAGCCCGATCCACCGGTCCAACCTACAACACATCTCAGATGGTGGCTGCCAATCAGTGCAACGATCCCGTTCTTGGCTGTCACTGTCCTCATTCCCCTCGTCCTGATCGCTGTACTAGAAGTTCTCCAACGATCCTCGGACAAAAACGATGGGCTGTTCACCGTTGCAGATGACAAATGGACCGAGATCTACAGCCACTACATCCCCGGTGTTGTCATGTTGATTGTTGCAGCATTGATCAACATGCTGGACTTCAACATAGCGTTGTTCGCGCCTTGGGTCAATCTCGCGAAAGGGAACGCCGTTAGCAGGAGATCTGTCTTGAATCACCTTTTAGGTAGGTCACCGCCATTAGCATTCATGCAGGCTTTGAAGACGCGAAACTTGAGCGCAATCTTAAGCATCCTAGCCGCCACAATGGCGGCAATTTTGACCGTTGTTGCTTCCGGCCTATACACTGTCGAATATTTTACCCTTGATGGACCAGAAATTACACTTCGAACGGTGGATTCCTTCAGCCTGAAATGGACAGATAGTTTTGCATCTGATAAGGGAGCTGCTGCTATGCTCGATCTCGTCCTCCACAACAATGGGAAATATCCTCAGTTTACTTACGAGGGCTTAGCTTTCCCGAGTCTTTCTCTAAACAACTCGCAGGTCTCAACCGACTCCCTCGCTACAGCGAGCGGATCGTACAGCCAGATATTGGATGCCTACCAGGGAAATTTGAGATGTGAAATTTTGAACCCTGACTCCTACAATATAACGACAGAGCAGGCTGGGCCAGAGAGCGCATACCCGAATGATATGGCATTTATGGTTGTGACGGCAGCACTCCCCGACTCTTGTCACCTGGGAGGCTCTTCAGGCGAGGATTCAGTTGTGACATACGAAAACGACTTTGTCCTCCTTCCGAACGGGCAGGTGACTTTCGCTGGAGCTCAACTTGATCTTCTGTTCGGCGAGAACTCAAGCCTGTACGGAAACTTCGGCGAAGAACGCGGTCAGTACATCTCAGACAATCCACCAGTGGGCTGTCCCAGTCTTGCTTTTACATTTGGTCAATTCAAATTGGACGATGACAACAAGGACCAAGTTACGACCATGGTCTGCTACCAAGAGATCCAGACGCTAAAAGTCAACGTCACCTTGAAATCGAACAGCACCAGAATCGACACGGAGCTCCCCCCAGTGATTCAAGATGGGACTGTGGCTATCCTAGAAAACCCGAACAGCAACAATAGTGTGAAATCGTTCGATTTCCGGATCGAAAACAACCTGGCGCAGGAAATGACGCTTTTCAATGGGGACAACAGCACGGCGGCGGCAGCAGATCCCTCCAGCACCGCCACTCTCGACATCTACTTCCAAGCCATCATTAATGGTCCAGACAGGATGGACCCGGCTTCACTAGTCGGCGTCGATAACCAAGACAGACTCCAAGAAGCCGTCAACAGATTCTACCAGATGTATATGGCGCAAGCCATCTCCGCCAACATGCGCCAGCCAGCCAACGGCAGCACCGCCACATCTTCTCGCCTCGTCCGTCGCCAGGACTTCAACACGCTCACCACAGGCACTACAACCATCGCACACCCCCGTCTCGTACAGCACAAAGAAAGCAAACTCCTCCTCCAAATCCTGTTAGGCCTAATGACAGCCCTCGCCGCCGCAGCATGGTCCACCACGAAGTTCCGCCACGTCCTCCCGTGCAATCCCGCATCCATCGCCGGCACTATGGCTCTCCTCGCAGGCAGCGACCTGTGCTACGCAACGGACGAAGGGCTCTGCGAATGCTGCGGGAAATCGCGCCGCCGCAGCTTCGGTCTCGATGGCGACCGCCTCACGCGCCCAGAAAGCATCCACGCCGGCCCAGAAGACAATCTTTCAAACTCAGACGACGACGAAGAGTCGGTTCGAACACAGCAGATCCCCGAAGGCGCCGAGTGGATGCGGGCCGACCAGTTCAAGACCCTGTTCGGCGGCAAGCGCTACAGTCTGGGCTGGTGGCGCGAGCGGCGCGGCATGGGGAAGAGGAGGCGCTTTGGTATCGACATCGGCGAGCGTGCGGACGGCGACGATGATCAGGATTGGGAGCTGGGACATCGTCGGCCACAGGGCGCCGGGTTCGAGAATTTCATGATGCGTAACCTCGGAGGCCGTGGCGAATATTCTAGCTTGGCACCCGACGGCGCGCACGCGAGGAGACCCAGTGGCGCTGGAGGGCCCCGTCCTGACAGCTTGGGCGGCCAGCCGTGGAACAGAGACGCAGACGTTGGATATGAACCACCCCGTCACGTCGTCATACCTGGCAGTGGGGGGCCACCAGGAAGAGGAGGTGAGCCTGGGCCCGGCACCGTCGGCCGCAGAGCGAATTCTATCATGGGCGGTGAAGCGTAGGCGTTGGAATACGATGACCTCATGTCATGTATACATACTTATATACTTCTTATATATTCCCCGAACTAAGTTGCACCGATTGCGACATTCATTGAGAAAAGGGAGCGTGGCCGCTTTAAGTAGGCATGTAAGGGAGCACTAGAGAGGTTCAGGTGAGTGAGGGAGAGGTAGATGGAGAGTAGGTCTTGATATAGGTTAGGTTAAGTTTTAGGAGTAGTTTATCCGCCTAATAGATTGTTAAATTACTATAAGGAGGAACCTTTCCCAATCTACTGTTGGTATTGAGATGAAGAGTTGTAGCCTATACATCACCCTGAAGCGAGAGGTCGGGACAAACGCAGCAAGTCCACGTCTAAGTCCATCATATGGGCGTAGTCTTAAGTTAAATAGCTTAATAGTACTAGTTATCTCGGACAGGGCAGGTGATGAGGAGCAAAGATCTATGCTGATAGAAGACTTCCCTCTCTTGTCTCTTCCACTATTGCTTTGATCTACTATGTATTCATTGGGGCAATCTTTTGTCCCTCGACTTGTCAAGAGCTATCCTGCTCCCTCATATCTTTGCGTCGAGGCTGAGGCTCCGGCACGTGGTTTAGAACGCCTTCTTGTTCCGTTCCAGTATATTCCTTCATCCCTCATAACGAATAAAATTGATAAGCTTGTACCTGAAATTGTCCCCTGGCGCGAGAGCTCTTCCCTCCAATACTGCCCCAAAACCGAAATGGAGGACTTGCTGCTAATCTGCTCGACGTTCATGACTTTGACGTTCCACTCGACCGTTGTTATCATTCCAAAGTGGATCCGGGAAAAGGCCTTGAGACTTTATCCAGGGGCCAAGTCAACAGCTATCGGTGTCTTCACTAATTCCCGATCTCCCTGAAGGGGCTTCGGGATACTTTGCGAGCTTGAATAGACAATAGCATGAGCTTGCTTTTCTTGCATCGACAGGTTCTTACTACCCAGGGACTTGCTCCGATAAGAATCGATGGGTACACAAATACAGTAGCCATGCTTTTGTCTGATCACAGCCGTTGTTGGGATAGAATTGTAGATTTCCCCCCTTTTGGGTCCAGTAATGACAGTGCGCGGGTATTCGTTCCCTGCGTCTGCTTTCAAGGGGGCTTGGCCCTTTGGCTCAGGCATTAAGATGGAGAATACTCTGCCATAATTGAAGAAATGACGAGCATCACGCCGCAAGACGTATCTCTGATCAAGGGGCTCTGGATCGCCTAGCAGATGGCCGCGGAATGCTACATTTTCCAACCCATTGACTGTCAATACCGAGGGTGGAGAACCTCGCGAGGTTGTAATTGGATCCTTTGGACTTAAAGTTGAATAAGCACTTGGTTGGCTGGGTACATCGTGAGAAGTTGCTAGAGAAAACCTTTCGCTGGTACCATACATGGCTGGCTTCAATGGATATGGGATTGGAGTTGGAAATGGTGTTGCTGCCACGGGGGGTATTTGTAGGAGGAGGAAGCGGCCAGAGAAGATCTGATGTAAGGAGCAGGTCCGACATCATTGCCGTCCACACTCTCTAGACCATCTGAAGCATAGCCACAATTGCTCGAAGAGGACGAACGAGAACCATATTCACTTAGACGTCGACTAGCAGGATCCAAAAGGCTTTTGTGGCCAGAATCAACATCTTTCGGCTGCAAGGTTTGCTGTTCCTTCAGTAGACGATCACAAGCAGCGAAAAATGCATTTATTTCGATGTTCGAATTTTCGGATGCGAGGGTATCGAGGTACTGATCTATTCCTTCAGGTGTGAGGTTTCTACAGCTTCTGACCAATACTAAGCGCTGGATACATTGTTGCATCAGGTTGTTGTCGATGCTGCTGTTGTTTCTCGCATGTAGTGCGACCCTGCCGAAGTATTCGTCTTTAGCGATCAAGATTTTACGGTTGTCTTGAATAAAATCCCTGCAGTGAGTAAATGGCCCTACAGGGATCTTGATAAACTCAATAGCGACTCGTGGTAAATTAAGTGCATTGAGAAATGTATCAACGGGTGACCTTTTCTTTGCGATTTTGGCGAAGGTAAGATGAATGTTGGTTGAGTCGGCCGGAGCTTCTGGGATGGATCATCCTATTCGCGAAATTTGTATTCGCCGAAACCGACTACGGGGAGCGGCTGGCACACTAGCATCCTGAGATACGCCTGCATCTACACTCTTGCTACTGTGAACGAAACTATCAGTCAAGCCTAGCAAAGAGAACAAGAAACAACCAGGGGTATAATGTATCGCACCCCGATGTAACCTACTTCTGTGGAAGCTCCTTACGGGTAGGAGAGGGCCAAGGCTCGATCTCTCGAGGTTGCTTTTCAAGGGTCTGAGCAGAATCGTGACTTGTATTAGTAGGATGGTGAGTGGGTATAGAGCGGTCTGGGTGGAGTGTGCGCCTTGTTTGCACTGTATCGCTCGGATCAAGCCCTGAGAGTGTCAACAAAACTTCTGATGTCCAGGAATGGAGCTGCCACTCACCACTATTGCCAACGGGATGCCTCCCACGGTAATGGTCGTGACTCCTGGGACCAAGCACTATAGGAGACACGTTATCGTTTTGGTTGGAAACAGAGCTGACTGGTTTGCTGGTTCTATCCTGATCACTCATGACAAGTTTAAGCGGAGAAGAGTAGCTGGAAAAGCTCCTCTGTGGTACAAATTGTCCCAACCAAATGGCTTGTCCACCTTCGGTTTTGTGGGTGCTTTGCGTCCGACAATAGTATTCTTCGCATCTTCAGTGTTCGAGCCTGAACTTTTTGGAAGACCCCTTGATTGTGTTCGAAGTAGAAGCGCGATTGGTCCGACGATCGACCGAGAGCTTAGTATGGCGATCCGACTCTTCAAAACATTGGGGATGATACTCAATAGGGTGCTTAGGTGAGAGTTCACTGGTTGACACCTCGGCAAGGTCGCAGATCTGCATTCCCGGAGTTTCCCAGCGATTTTTGATGTCAGCAAAGATTTCCTTCGCAGGCAGTATCAAAGTAAGCGACGAAATCCTGCTATGAGCGACAACAATACCAAGTACGATGTCGCTTTGGGGTTCTATGACCCAGGCACCGCAAACTCCAGGGCCTGTGAATAGAGTATATCAGCATCCAGGATAGAAGTCGACATCCGTGCTAATCTTACCAGACTCGCATTCAATTGACCACACTTCAACAAAGCCTTTGGTCCAAGGTAGATTTATTGCTGACTTCGTTCCCAAACTTTTTCCCTGTGCAATTTTCCAAGAGCTCCGCCACAATTAACACATCTCCATCGGGAGGCTCGGTACTGGAACACCCCAGCCGTGGCTTGACGTACAGATCAGCGCCATGAAAGTTATTGTCGCACCAAAGGCGAGGATCTGTAATTTTGCGCGAGTGCCCAGTCAAGATCTCGGTTGAAAAGGAGCTCTTTCGGCAGGGACGATGAGATCGAACCGGCAAATGCATTGCCTATATGTGTTGCTGTGTTTATTTGGGCATCTGAGTCTGCTGATTTTGAAATTTGTCTCAATGTCATAGGTGGAGAATGCAGAGGACGGAAGACCCGTGTGGTACTGGGCTCTCAATGAGAGCTTGGGAACGAGAAGGATCCAAGGAACTCGTGGAGGTGGATGCCGTTGTCCACTCCGAGTCGGTGTCAAGTTCTGAATCATTATCTGAGTCTTGTTGCGCATCAGGGAAGTCGAAGAAAATGTGGGCACAGGTCATTGCGAAATATTCATGTGGACTGGCTATGAGTATTCATCCGACTGTTGCCAGTCGACTTTTCGATGCGGTGGTGCACGGAAACGGGCAAGCACGTACAGCCTTGCCACATAAGTGTTACGAACCAAGTCACGGATGAGGTCGCCAGGACAGGCGCCCCACGTTCCAAGGGACAGTTTAAGGAAAGTCAGCCGATGGAGAACGAGGCTGCATCACGTGACCAAGGGTGCATTGATGTATTGTTGCATTGCTTCTAATGTAGCAATGCACTAAAGCAGCATTTTAAGCATTATATATATACGATCCTTTACCTAGATAGTATAGTTCGTAGTTAACTTCGTTAGTAATCCTATACCTACGTTTTAGGATATAGTCCGACGATTAAATATTCCCTTTATTATCTTAGTTAATACTCTAGTATCTACTCTATTAAGGAACCCTACCTTAGTTAGAACTACTTATAGCTCGAATTATAATACTTTAACTACTACTTAATTAGTATTAGATATCTAACGTAGGATTATCTCGAATTAAATTCCTACTACCTAGCGTACGTCTACTTATAACCTTAAATAATTCTTTAAAGACTAATATCGTTTAAGATAGTAGTTTTAACGAAGACTTAGACGTAGATATAGTTAATATACTAGAACTTACTAATATATCTAGGAATAGTATTAAGGTAGAACTATTCTACGAAAATAGGGAGAAGCTAGAATACTTCCTTATATAACTTAAGACTACCTTTAAGCTTAATCTAACTAAGTATACTAGGGTAGAGAATAAGGTTATATTCGTAGTAATATATCTTAAAGGAGTAGCGTTCTATTAGTTTAAACTAGTATAGGACGACTATCTCGAGTCCTCTAGCCTCGATAATAAAATTAAGGTATACTTTAGAAACTTTATATAGTTCGAAAAAAAAATTAAATAGATTTATAGTACGATTAATAAGGCTATAGTAGCCTCTCGTACTATATATATCTTTAAATAAATAATAATAATATTATCTATTAACGTCTATTTTAGATCTCCTTACGGAACTACGTAGATAATTTACCTTATATAGGAAAAGGCTCTTTCGTTCGTAGAGTAAAACCTAGGGCTCGTATCGCTAGAAGTATACGTCTCGTACGCTTTCCGCCTCCTTATTACCGCCGTTAATCGTATAACTTTTTACCTATAATCTAGAGAGGTCTTACTTTTTTCTTCCTCCTTCTTTCTACTACTACTTATAATCCTTAAAGGGTACGAATATCCCTATATCTTCCTCTCCTACCTCCTTTACTACTCGGAATTACTCGAGGACTCCGCTCGTAATAAACTAGCGTATCGTATACGTCGTATATACGGGCCGCGAGAGGATCTTATCGAGTCTCTCTATACTATATTATAGTAGAAGTTATACTCTATTATATCGTAGGTAATATAAAAGGATATATCGTACTATCTACGTACGCTAGTCGTAGTCGTAGCGCGCTTCGACGCCGAGAATATAAATCGACGCTAGCTAGGTATTAAGGCTAATAACTTTCGTTCGTATAAGTATAAGCGCTATCGTCTCTACTTTCGTAAGGCCTACGTATAGCTTACGCCTATTCTACTCCTAGAGTATACTTTAGGTCGCGGACTAGCGGAATCCTCTAGATTATTTTACTAGGTCTTACTATTTCTATTTTTAGTAATTTCTAGCTATTTAGCCTAGTATAGCCTTATCTATCTAGATCTAGCCGCGCCCTTCTCGGTTATATTTCGCTTATTAGTCGCGAGCGCGTTCCCTAGTCGTCCTAGCCTCGCGGATATTATAGTCGATCTTAGCTTCTAGTACTATCTTCGTCGTAGCTAGCTTCGCCGTCGTCTCGCCTAGTAGCTACTTCTAGATCGTTTCGGCTACGTTCCGCGTATATATTATAATCGAGTTACGCCTAGTACGTAGGAGTTTCCTTACTATATACTTCTAGATATAGATCTCGAGTAGGAAGATATAGGCTTTCTTCTCTAGGACCGCGATTAGTATCTTCTTATAGCCCTCTATAATTTAGTAGAGGTATCTATTTTAGACTTTCTTAAGGAGTTTAAGCCTAGACTTTAGTAGTACCTTTATTATAATTCGCGTACTCTACTCTTATAACTCGTATAGGAGCGTTAGCCTTACTATTTATTACGAGTACGTACGAAGATTTAAGTATTCTCGGCGATAATAGCGAATATTAAAAAAGTACTTAGAGTAAAGACGTCTACTAATTCGCGTACGAAGCTTCCTTAATAGTACTACTATTTCTTAGACGTCTTTAGTCGTACGAAAGTAGAGAAGCTACTTCCTTTATAAGAAAAGAAAATCGACTACGCGATCGACCTTAAACTAAAAGACGGAAAGAAATCTTAAGCCTCGTAGAGTCCGCTATATAATATATCTCGAGACGAATTCTTAATACTACGACGTACGCTTATTAAATTTCTCGATAAGAAATTTATTAAAGTAAATAATTCGTTAGCGGTAGCTCTAGTTTTCTTTATACGAAAG